GGACTACTAGTTCAAAAGTTACAGCCCTTTGAATTTTTTTTCGAAATTGGTTTCAGTCTATAACTTTTGATTGAGAAGTCTGATCGAAAAAGTACGAATTGATTTGGATTCTACGCGCCCAAATTAATAAGAAAAAGTGTTTTCCCGAGAAATTTTGGTGTAGTCGATTTTTGGTAAAAAAGGAAGGTTATACACTGCCTTTTTTTAGCCCCGAAAAAAAAATTGTCTCAGATCGACCCGGAAAAAAATTTTCTTATAGAATGTGGCCTGTAGAATCCATAATTTCAAACAGTTCCAAGATTGGCTACTAGTTCAAAAGTTACAGCCCTTTGAATTTTTTTTCGAAATTGGTTTCTAGTCTATAACTTTTGATTGAGAAGTTTGATCGAAAAAGTACGAATTGTTTTGGATTCTACGCACCAAAATTAATAAGAAAAAGTGTTTTCCCGAGAAATTTTGGTACAGTCGATTTTTGGTAAAAAAGGAAGGTTATACACTGCCTTTTTTTGAGCCCCGAAAAAAAATTGCCTCAGATCGACCCGGAAAAAAATTTTCACTTATAATTGCACAAGAGGTTTGTATTTTACCGAGTAAATTTGGGTTGTTTAGGTAATAAAAATGTGTTGCCTAGTAATTAGACGAGAAAAACTGTCAACTAATAAAAATGCGACACCGCAGGTGGAGCATTTTTAGGTTGACAGTTTTTCGAGTCCAATTGCTAAAAGGAAACAGATTTGAATTGCCACAACCCAAATTTACTCGGTTTAAATACAAACCTCGAGTGTAATTCGGCAGGACAATTTAACGAACAAGAAATTCACCAAATTAATCAATTATTGACAGACGTCAAACTAGTCATATGGGAAAGGATAATGCGATATTGGTTCGAAAATGAATAAGTGAAAAAACCACTAGTGCATTTGTCGCTGGAAAAGTTGCAGGTAACTTTTGCCGCTGTCAAAGTGACAATTTCACTGCGGCTTATGCGATTTTTTATACATGAGTTGAATTGTCTTATAGAATGTGGCCTGTAGGCTCCATAATTTCAAACAGTTCCAAGATTGGACTACTAGTTCAAAAGTTACAGCCCTTTGAATTTTTTTTCGAAATTGGTTTCTAGTCTATAACTTTTGATTGAGAAGTCTGATCGAAAAAGTACGAATTGATTTGGATTCTACGCGCCCAAAGTAATAAGAAAAAGTGTTTTCCTGAGAAATTTTGGTGCAGTCGATTTTTGGTAAAAAAGGAAGGTAAGGATTAACCAAAAAAATCGAAAACATTCGTTCCATCCATTATAGGCGCCAATACAATCGAAGTAAAGTCCATTTAAAATTTCGCCCTCATAATTAACTGAAGATAATATAGATATATTTATTGTGATGATTTTGACCTTACTCTTTTCTAGATAATATAACGCTGAACATCTACCTATATAGCGGTTATTAAATACCATCCACCATCCAAACATATGAATGGAATAATTTGCTTCGTGGTTGCTGCTTGATATGTTTCATTTACGTGAAACCCTTTCGATTTTCAATTATCCCGATAATTAAATTGCTTAGTTGTAGAGTTTAATTGTTAAACAATAAACGCGTCAGTCGCAGTAATATGCCAATATGTGTAATACATTAGGTAAATTACATTTATTTTCATAATCACCTATTTTACGATGTACAGTATTGCCTATACAACATAGACGCCCTACTATATCCACTAAAGTTCGGCGTGTTCCATTTGAGAGGGTGATGGATAATAAATCACCATTGCGAACTAGAGCGCATACTATAAAGCGAGGACTAGATATACCTACAGTGTTTCTACTCCAAGTGGACAACGCAATAGGGGTTATAAAACTCGTCATAACTAACACTTTTTTAGAGTAATTTTTTTTTCATTTTGGCTTTTGTTTCCGAATTATGCACCTTTACAAAATGGCGGTCACTTTACATTTTGGAAATTGAAATTGAATTGTGCTAATCAAAAATGAAAAAAAATTACTTTAAAAAAGTGTTAGTTTTGACGAGTTTTACAACCCCTATTGCGTTTTCCACTTTGACTAGAAATACCCTGTATATTATATATTCTTTGGTTTATGCATTCTGGATTAACTTTATTTATGCACTATAAACATATACAAGGGCTACGAAGAGGCAAGTGAAACAAACCCGCAATAACAATATTAGTCGTAATTCCTGAATGTTGTATCTGATTCTTACTCTGCTTGAGAAGAGGCAGCACTCTCCTAAGAGAAAATGTGGAAAAAAAGCTCCTGATTTACCAATTAGTAAAAAAAAAAGCTCTCGTCGCCATATTTCCGGACGAACAATATATACCTTGGAAGAACGGCGAGCAAACGTAGTGTATAGGTTTGAAACTTTGAAGTGATACAATTATTGCCGTCTACAAAGTTTACAAAACGAAGCAGTACGCCCAAACAAAATTCAAGACAGAACCACCTATTCATACCATCTCCGAAAATTAACAAAAACGCAACCAAATCTCATAGTAGGTAGTCCTTTTTTGGTTACACTTGGGAAGAATACAGAAAAAAGGAACTTCTTCGTTTCTTTACCGTGACTAAACCAGAATACAGAAAGTTCTTGATAACATTTACGCTACTTTTACTTTGCAAAGTAATGTAAAGGAACATGCTCTACAGTTTACACGTTTCTTTACATTTAATGGACCGTCAGGGTGCCCTGTTCGTGGAAAAATTTTAGTTAGTAGTTCCAAAATGTTGTAACCACTTTTGATTCGACTGCTTTTATAAGTAGATTTTTCTAGTCCAGGCCAAGGTTAAATATATCTAGACTTCCTATAGAAATTATCTTGGTGTCCTAGTAATTTTACTTTGTATTTCGGAAGCAGTTTTCTGGCGGTTGGAGAAAAATATTTCTGTCATATGTTTGAATACAATCTTATATATAAAGGAGCCTGACGACAAAATGCGATTGGTAGGTACGTAAGACGCTTTTCATTTCCACACTGTAGTTCGCTTTTAGCAAGATTTAGTTTATTCTGTGCCATACAGATTGGCTTTTCGTTTTTCTATTGGCATAGAATTCCATATGCATTTAAATTTAAAAATAGGTTATCAGTTTTCCTAAAATTAAATCTTGGGCGCTTCTCTCTTTTAAGCGTTAAAAAACAAAGAGACAGGATATAATCTCTTGGGAAGCACGATTCATCCCGTGTAAGTTGTGTTCATCCATCGGGAATTTAAATGATGAAAAAATTATGTCGTGATTCCATTACATCGATACCGTGCCTTTTTTTGAGCCCCGAAAAAAAAATTGTCTCTTCAATTAAAACAGAATTTTTTAACAACCTAACATCAACCCCCAATATTAGAGAAACGTGTTAATAATTTATTAATAGTGCAAGAAACTAAATACAGCACATACTTATAAATTTCCAACGGGCCATTATGATCTACAGGCTAGCTGGCAATCGCCACCCGCCCCCCCCACCGTGCCAGTCCGCCCCTGAGCATACCTGCAATATATCCATTTAGTATACACTTTCCGTCTTGGAGGATTTGTGTCTTTATGTGATGTTTTGGTTTACAAATTAACAGCATTGATGAACATTAGCGAACCTACTAGTTTGTTTATATAATATGCATAATGTAAGGTAGTTTCTTTTGTTTTCCCTTTCAAGTAATGAGATATCGCCTTAGGAGTTTTAAGTGCAACTTGAGTTGCTTATCTTCTCGTTAGCGTTTTACTTTTTTGTGAAAATCTCGGAATCTATTTTTTAAAATAAAAAAATGAATTATCATAATGGATGAAAATATCATCTTAAAGTGCCAACGTAAAAAATACTGTCGCATTTCCATATTGATGGTTGGTCGTTTTTCTACTCTCATTAAAACGACTTTTCTATTCATGGATCTAACTGAAAAACTTCATTTAGATTTGCTGGAAAATGTATCCCTGGGATGTATCCGTTTAGTAAATGCAACGAATCGCTTTAATTTGTTGCATTTCGATTAAACAAGTTCGATAATTTTATTTTAAGTTTTACACTTGCTCCAATACTCTTTTACTGATTTAATGGCATGAAATTTGTGTATCTACTGATCCAAAACGAATGTTTGAAGAATTTTTTTAATTAGTTCTATAGATAAATATGTTATAATCGTATATACCTAAGTTTTAATTAACGTTTATCAACAAAAATTGTGAACACAAAAACATAAATTACGAACAGTAAAAATGAAGATTGAAAACAGAAAAACCGAAAATATAAAATTTAAACTATCTTGTCAAAAACTGTCGTCATCCGAGCGCTTACATTTCATTTTCAATAACACAATCGTTTAATCCTGAAATTATTAACAAGCAAGGATAGGTAATCAAAATGTATTATTTGTTCTTATTCAGCAACTTTCTAGTAATTGCTTGCAAGTGGGTATATTACTATTTTGAAATTTGATCAAAGATCTACATTCGAAAATATACTTAGTCCAGTCCATCCCCATCACAGTTCTCTTTCAAGTTGATTAAACAAAAAGTCGTTTCCCCAATCTGCCAGAAGATTCGAAAAGTGGAGTACCTATACCTTATTCCTGCATTGCACCTTTGAAATTTAAAGGAAAAACCCATGCATTTCTATCTCACTAACTTAAATCGGATCACGTTGTTTTACCAAAAGGTGTCTTTTGATTAAAGTGAAACAACGACCACCACAATATTAAGTAAAGGTAAATTGTGGTTTCTGGTTGACCAAAAAGCGTACAGCATTACAATATCCGTATAGGTATAAACGCATGGAAGAATAGTGAACATTACAAGCGAATGTTTTATTTTTGGTAAAAACTATTTTTAGCAACGTTAACGTTGGTTTTTTTTTTATTTTATACTGATTACTTTCAAAACTTTTACTTTCATTCTAAGTTTAGTTTATTGGGGCATAAAACTACTCTGATAGTCACGATAATGTTAAAAACGACGAAGCCACTCAATGTGGGACAAGCAACACCATTTTGCACCTCGAGGTATAAAGATGCTACTAAGCATTTCACCTCTTCAGTAACTTCTTCGAGTCTGACCTGCATGGCTATTCGTGTCGTGTTAGCATTATTTACTTGTGATTAGTTGTGAGTGTGCACTATGAGAATTGATAGATTTACACATATTTTAGTGAGTATCACGATTTTATTGATAATTGATCAATTAATCCTAATAAAAATTGATCGCCCTAATTCTAAGAAGAAAGTTATATCTGCCAATCTCTTATATTTCAAACGAGTGCGCCTTTTTAATTTCATAAGATGATTGGTATTAAACTTTAATTAGTGTAAGTGCATCAGAAAATAGGTCGGATGTAGGATAATTGTAAATGTTGGACCACTATCCGCAATTTTCGGTGATTATTCCTTGTAAAAGTATGGCTTCTCAAAATTTTAGCTTTTAGTACTTTTATTGGTTAAAATCCGGGTACTAAAGAATTATTGAACTGAACTATAATTATGAATTAAGTGTTACTAATATGTAAATAACTACGTGATTTCCGCTCAATGGAATATGTCGATACATGGTGAAGTTATGAATAAGAATAATCTAACATGTTTAGGTATATATGTAGAGTAACACATGAACCTTTGGATTTAGGACAAAAATTGGGATAACCTTCCACGGTGCTTCACGTATATAGGTAACGATGTTTCTAACAGCATGCCTTCTACAAACAGGAAATGCATTATATTTGATGTGCATTCCTGTGACCATTTTGAAAAGTTAGTAGCGTAATCAATATAGGTACTTTACTATTAAAAGTTGATTTGTAAATATTCAATTTTGTAAGACCAACAAGTAAACATTTTGCAGTTGTGTCAAAAAGGACATATTGTAATGGACTATTGGAGGGAAAAAAATTTAACATGTATATGAACTAATTACCTACCCAGCACTACACCATAAAATGGTGACAATTATATACGCTCTAATACTTTGTACGTATACAGATTCAAATGAAAGATTCATGCGGTAAAATTTTCCTTTCCTTGACCTTCCTTTTACTGCAAATTGGTGCCGGTTTCGACATTCTTTAATTATCTTGCAAGCGCATTTGCTTTTGTTAACATCGTACTTAATCTACTAATTTAAAAACATTTCTTGAAAATCTTCATAGAGAAAGTGGTTGTGGCTGGTCGATCGGTACCTACATCTTTTTAAGAATAGTTATCTTTTTGTAAAAAACGACAAATGTGGGAAATGTGGATGTAATAAGTTTAGATAAAATCATGTGGGCGCGGATGTAACTTTCTAGTATAATTCAAATACGAAAACGACCCGCATATCTTATTGCTTACTGGAATTATTGAAGGTTTCTAGGCATCAATATGAATATTTGAAGATGCGTACTAATGAAATTTTTGTTCAATATAGAGTTTTTTGGGTCACATTGTTGTGTATGAATATTAATTTTTAAACTTTTTATAATGTATCCCCGTTAAATCACATATTCACGTGGTTGAATACAATGTACCTTTATTTCAAGTTATATTATATTTGAATACAAATAGTAATTAAATCTGCACTAGTAGAACAAGTTGCATTTTAAAGTTATATGGCAATGACAAGCAGAATATTTTTTGTAACGTTAGATTTCGTTTCAGCTTTTCGTAGCTACGTGCCTTAACGTGGACGTGCAAGGAGATGTATCGCTTATCACGAATCTAAAACGTCCCAAAAGAGAACCTCCAGTATATAGACCAACAAAAATTATACGCACAACAAGAAGGAAGCCAAAACCAATTTATGGCCCACCAAAATTGAAATATGGACCTCCACCTAAACCAGTATATGGACCACCATTTTTCTCATATCGCCCCTCGATTTCACAATCCTACGGTACACCATCTTCATTTTATGGAGCCCCATCTCCGACATATTCAGATCCTTCACCCAGTTATGGTATTCCATCCGCATCATATGGACCTCCTGCATCAGCAAGTCAAACGTATGGGGCGCCTAGTCCAAGTTATGGACCACCATCGCAAAGTTATGGTGCACCATCCGTAAGTTACGGTCCTCCTAGTCCTAGTTACGGCACACCTAGCATGAGTTACGGACCACCCAGCTCAAGCTACGGAGCTCCTAGCCAAAGCTACGCATCCGCAATGCATAATTACGGACCTCCTCTATCGACGTATTCACAACCGAAACAAAACTATGGTGCTCCACAGAGCCCATATAGTAGTCCTGTAGTATCAACTACTAGCTACAACTCTCCTACCCACACCTACCGGGCACCCATAGTCAACGAAGTTTATAGTACTTATAGTGCTCCTTCAAGTACTTACGGACAACCTTCGACAACTTACAGCCAATCTACGTCTCAATTCCCATCAATGCCAACATATCCTGCTACGGTACCATCTCATGGCTACGGTTCCCCTTCGCCAAGCTACGCTCCAAGTATGCCATCTCATTCTCCAAACTATCCTTCACCTTCAAGCGGGTACGAACTTCCATCGCCGCATTATGGCACACCACCGCTGAGCTACGAGCCACCATCTGCAAGTTACGGAACACCAGGAGCAGTTACATCATATGGTACACCTGTGCAGTCGTCGGCTACAGGAGATACTTACAATCCATCACACAAAAGATCTGAGTATGTGGAAAACAGTGCCTTCGTAACACTTGACGACAGTTATACGGCACATACTTTTATCTCTCCCATTGCAACCAACAGGACTAAGGCACAATTAGACAGCAAACCTAAAACAAACCATTATAAACCAAGTACAACTATCGAATTACACAAACTTACAAATCATTCATCCGCAGATTATAAACAATCCAACCACAATTACGAAGGTGGTGGAATTCAAGACGAGCACTTCATCACCTTCGCAAATGTTTTTAGAAAGCCTTCAAGTAAAACGAAGCCAGAAAAGCATCTGAGTAAATATTATCAAAATTACAAATCGACGAAGAAAGTTTTTAAACCTTCACCGGAAATAAAAGCAGATTCTAACTTTTATTCCAATGACGACAATCCTATGGCCTTTGATTTTAAACACGATTCAGAAACGGGAAAATTGTTGCAAGAAGTTTTATAAAGTACGCACCTAACCAGATAAAACGGTGTGCAATTATAAATTGGGAATGTTTACTTTTTCATTTTACATGGCCATAAAGAGTTAGTGCATAAAGTAAGTTGTTTCTTCAACTAATTTATTTATTGTAAAATCATAAAGCGCAATAGGTATATATCTATTACCGATGATGCGTCTAATTTCGGTTTTATTTTTATTTATATGTAATTTAACCAAAGATATATATAATAAAGTGATGAAAGTCGTAATTATTGCATCCAAATTACCCATCAGTACAGCAAAAGAGCTGGAGGAGATCGGGTCCACTAAAATGTATACTATAACGGAAAGTGATAAAATTGTACATATATTTCATTTAATGTACGTAATTAAATATCGCTTGAGATTTATAACTCTCATGGGACTCTTAGATATAGAGTGATCTAGTAGAAATATTTCAGTGCTGTTGCTGATAACTCTCAATTTAGTCGATCTGTCTACGAAAGGGAAAAAGTCTATCAGAAAAATTTGGTTCCGCAGTAAAAGCAGGAGTTAGTAATCCCTCTACGGTGAAGGTATAGTATTGATCTAGTAAAATATCCAGCAGGCCGCTACCGACTCTCGAACTGTAGTACTAACAGGAAACGCTATAGTTCGAGGGGCGTTCGCATTCTGAAATAAGCGGTTCATATCTTCAAAAAGCTGCAATAAAAATCCATGTACTCCTTTTTAAATTCTGTATATAAGAAGTTGTGAAAGATATATTGAAATACTTCGATATGTTCGATATTAAATGTACTAATTACAAATTGTAATTAATGATGAAAACAAACTCGTTAATAAAGTGTTATGTTTGTATGTAGCAGTTAAAATTCTTAAACAACGATTTGTTATAAAATAAATATATTTTATCTATATTTAAATTATGTGCGCTCGTACAAAAATACAATGTTATAATCATTTTTTGAGGAGAATTTGTAGGTAAGTGTTTATTTCGTAACTATGCACGTTGCCTTAATCCCCTACATATACACAGCTGAAAATGCGTGATCAATACGTAATGATAATTTTTAAACCATCTCAATTGATGTATTAACGCAAAGATTTTTTTGTTTTTCATGTATAGGTATTGCCCACCACACAATTTAATGTACGCAAAGTGTGTTTAGGATAGGCACAACAATAATGTTTTATTGTAAAGTATAGTTTCATTCAAATGTCTTATTTTGCAGATGTTTACCTAGACATATTCATTGTATGTAAGTGCAGTAGTTAGAGCGCTAAGCACCCTATCTAAATGAACTTTTAGAATACCTACATATATAAGCCCTTAACCATTGATGATAACAGTTCAGTAACGCATAAAACGTGGACACGGGATTTGGCGTCATCAGCTTTTAAAAAATATGGAAAATTCAAATCCACTTGGTGGAACAGATTGTTGAGTTTATTTGATTAGCCACCCTCCAGAAGAAGGCACCTTTGGTAAACCCAATGATCGGCATTGATCTGTTTCTTGAGTTTTTCATTTACAAATTGGAGTAGGTACCTACACTTAGCTTCATACCTTTTTAAACGAAGGGCATTTTTAAAATATGATGCTTTGGAGATGAGTGACGCCCGTCCACATGTTGTAAGTGATGAAAATTGAAAAATTTATTTACATTCCTGTTAAAGGTGTTACGAATTATTTATTCATTGAAAAATGAAAAACATATCTGTCTCAGTAATCCCTCTATGAATCATTTTCCGTTAGTATTGATTACTCGCTCATTTTAAGGAGTACCGTTTTAAGTAACCGATTTAAATGTAATAGGAGTAATTTCAATGGCAGTTTTGCTACAAGTGAGAGAAGGAAATATAAACTGAAGTGAATAACTTTTGCTATTCTCACGTAGTTACATCAAAATTTAATTACTTAATATTCTGAACCCTCCCTCTAGAGAATGACAATAAAGTCTGCACTCTAGAATTCCACAGAAATATAAAAACTCGAGGCCAAAACTGAGGGTTTTATATACAAAATTAAGTCGGGATTCACATTTAGATGAACGAAGTCTATATACTGCGCCAACTTCTGAATTTGGAATTTTGCCATTTAAGTTCTGAAATGCTTCTTTCTCTATGTAAATTTGCATTTTATATAGGTACTTCTGACACTTAAAACTTAAAAATTCGTATTCCTAAATTTCTTCCGAATTCGATGTAGGTAGGTATAGGTAAGAGTTGAGTGCAGGAATCGCCTTAACCGTATAAGTTGTACCTTTTGGTTGCGTTACTGCCAAATTATTATGAAATACAGGTAGGTACCCTTTCTACTAAATAAAATGCTACTAACAAAATTCATTGTTGTACAATGACACGTGTAAAATTTGTTTTTAAGGAAAGAAAACTTGATTTTCGGGAAATGTCAATAGTTACACTCAAATATAAGCACAATTCCATCACCTCCTTTGCGACTATCTATATTGGAAAATTGAAAGTAAATATCACTCTCCTAAAAAAATGAAGTTGAATATTACTTGTCTCTAATTACTTATTTTAACGACATTCCTATAGAATTTTCATAAACTAAATTCAACAACAATAGGTATCGATTATATAGCAATGCGACCGTTGATATTACATTATTTTTAGAATACACCCCAAAAAACCCAATAAAATAACCCTAATGTCCAACGTGAAACGATCATGGAAAAGATAAAAGCGGTCTGAAGTAATATACTGAATATGAAATGCTTATGGTTCTAATTTTGTAACACGCATAAAGGCAATTTAGAAAACAGAACATAATATATCATCTGGCACCGGATTTGACAAGTGAATTTGAAAGAAGATATAGAAGTGTTTTTATTATATTATCGCTTCAGAATTAGTTGCATTAGTTACTAATTCGTAACGCACAAAAAATTTTTACACCTGCTTCATTGACCATTGTCGACTACATACACCATTAACCTAGCAACTTCAACTCCCATAAATGTACCCTGTTTAATACCAAAAGATATTAAACAGAGGAACAAGGAAGCTGCAGCAAATACATCGCTGTCGCAATAGTATAATTAGAACTAGGTTACAGTTATTACATTATCATGAATTCGTAAGGTAACAATTTATTAAGAGTTGTGAAACGCAAGCCAGCAATCTGGCCGCGAAATACTACAAAGGCATCAAGTTTCAATGGAAAATTAGGTACTATAATTGCATACGTAAAATGCAACGTATGCCAACTAATGCAATAAGAAATAAGGACACTATGTCAAACAAACACAAATACGTCATAATTAATTGTATATATAAACTGTAAATAGTACTCAATAAATCACTATCGATTTGAATGTCGTTTAGTCGTTGGGGTTGCGAGGTCTCCAGTCTTTCAATTTGTACAAGTGACGGTGTACAGCCTCATCTAGCAACCCCCCGTCAAGCAGTCTTCTATTATCCAGAAGATTGTTCATACCCACTATTTTAACTTCAGTTATCAAAATCACTACACTTTGACATAGCTACTATAGTTTCGTCATTACAATATTACCATTATTAGCTATGAGTGTGTCATCAATGATAAAAACGTTCACCCTCGTGACGAACGGTCTGTCTGTATCACTTTTGAGTGACTGTGGCCGCCCATAAAGTCATTTAGCTCTCACAAACCAACCCTCACCGGGGTTGATCTCGTCATCAAAGGGTCAATCGATTACCAACTTCTCGAAAAGAGCTCGAAAGCTAGTATGAGTATAATTGTATAAATCTCCCCCGCCTCTGAAACAATAAAATAAAATCTTAAACTGTATATACTTAGCGCATCTCATATGGTAATGGTCAATGTTTTTAGCAGACCACAACCAACTTGAAAAAGATGCAATTGTTGCCATCTATTGCCTTACGAACTGTCAGCTAGCCAACTGACGATAGGTTCATAAAAAACGAAACCATCTGACATGCCCTACCCGAGTACATCAGAAAAGTCTTTGAGAAGCTGGACCACCTAAAAACCCTCACTCGCTCAAGCGTCCTAACCTCTTAACTACAATGAAATAACAATAACCATCGCATACCTACATATTCACTTTACCAGTGTTATAATTTTTTAACGATTTATAAATGGATAGCAGACGACAGTTTTAGACCTCCATTCTCACTTGGAAGTCCGGATAAGATATTCAAGATCCTTCTGGTCTAATAACAGTTACAAAATAAATGCCTAAACACAAGATTCCAACTATTATATGAAGTTGTCCTGTTCATACTAACATAAATAAATAAATAGTATAGAAACAGAAGGCTACAGTTGCTAAAGGGTGGGTTTTTTGTGATTAAATTTCAGATGATCATTTCTATGAACAAAAGTAGCTTTAATTTGAATTGACGATGGCTAAGAAAAGAGGAAAAGCTCTTGAAACTAATACTTCACAAACCATACTATAAGTATCACTGAACACAGTTAAGGACGGCATACGAATTAAAAAATTGAACCAGTTATGAAATGAGGCAACCCTGATTCAGCTAATAAATATCAGAGGGCGCAGCATGTTTTAAAATCGAAAGATAGTGAAGTATTATCTTTGTAGTAAATAAATTGTGCTGCCACATCGTGTCGAGTAGGTAGTACTCTACTTACACAATTGGTTTGTGTATGCTCTAAATTTAATTACTTTTACATGTTGGCTTCCATATGACCTTGTGCACATTCCTTTGCTTATTTTAACGAGATAAAAAACAGCTGGTTGACATAGATTAAATTACATTTAAAAGTACACGCAAAAACAGATTATGCACTATTACCAGAGATTATTCAACAAATTGAAGGCATGTTTTTTTGTTCAAATACCTAGCCCTTCTGCTCTCGCTCTGCAGTCGAAATCGCAAATAAAATTTTTGACGTTCATTTGTCAATATTCTTATAATTCTTTGACGTGGTGAATTTAAAGGATACATAGGGGAATTTGCTTTATTTACAACCAACTGTTTATTTTGTCAAACCTACAATTTGTAATCATTATTTTCACGAATACTTCATACTATGCGATCAAAAAAGAGTTGTTGTTGAGCAACCTTTGGAATTTTTGGTTACCCAGAAAATCGGCGACTCGATTGTCAATCCTTTTTTGATCGCTCCTTATATGAAAAGCGGGAGAAATCCTACTCGGGGGTTATTGGGGGTGTAGAGTCCATCTCTGCTCTCGAAATTGACAGACGATGCCCAGGAGCGGCGCTACGAGGGTGCAGTGAAGTAAAAAATTAACCGTGCTGAAAAAATTGTTACTCGGGGCAATTCATATTTTTTTACTGAAAATTCACCCCCGCCCCCATGATCTCTACCCCTGAGCATACCCGGATAATTTGGACAGTAGATCTGGTCTCTGCGCCAACGAAGATAATAAATGCATTTTTGCACCCCTGTGATTTTTAGGAAATGCACGTCGTAGGATAGACATAGGATAAGGGCAGCGTTGCACAATCGTGTAAAATTACCAAACGGATTTAACTACCTGTCTTCTTTTCTGGAGGGTCGCCCACACACATTCAAATCACAAATGTCATTTTATCTTAGTAAAAGAGAAAGGAATGTTGGCATAGGTCGCGTTTATGTACTCGTGTTTAGACAAACAACCATTCATTGTACTCAATGACATCATAATGGGATGCAGCAGTTCCTTTATATTTTTTACAGACGCGCGCCAAGTTAAGTTGTACCTTAGCGACATCTAGAAGTAAATAGCTGCACTACTGCTGCTTGCCGCCATTGTGATTGATGTAACTTTTTAAAAATGAAATCTTTGAGAATGACTCCTGGCCGCAATATTGGGTTTTAAATGACAAAACTTTCAATATTGAAAGAGGAGGAGCAGTTTTACAGCGACTGTACTTTAAAATTCAACAATTGCTTAAAATAAAATATGAAATGTGCCCTCTTATTTTAGCAATATTGTAGTAATTACTGTCTTTTTAGTAAAACCTTTATACAGTCGCTCTAGAGTAATGTATGTAGAATTTATATTTTCAAAAACCAAGCTAAAAAATGATTGTATAAGCCCAGGAGTCATTCTCAAAGTTTGATATAATTTTACAATGCAATTTGTCAGTGGCGACCTCTATTGGTTCTCATGAATAGTATGCCGTCCTTAAATAGAATAAAAATAAAAAGTACAATGACTTAAGCAATTATGTACCTACTTTTAAGCAAAGAGCAAATTATAAAAGTGTTTTTGAGACTGAAATTGACATCGTTGATGCGTGAAATTAGGACTCTTTGTTTCATTGTTAATTCACTCTTCTAATTTTTTGTTACAGATCTAAAATTGACTCAACGTCAATCTTTTTATTGTATTTTTATAATGTTTTTCCAACATAACACAATATATATTTTAACAAAGGCATAATCACAATATACTATCAATAGTAGTTTTGATAAAATTCAATAATGCAATAATTATTGCGTAATTAATTTAGCCACACAAATTTAACGACGCTGCATTCATACAGACATGAACCACATTTGACTATAATTAATTCCAATGACTTTGTAGATCTTTATTTTGTGTACGCCCTCTTTATTTCTACTTTCGTTAATTTATTACATTGCGTTAGGTTTCCCGGAGGGTAATTGTGAATAGCGTATTCTCCTATTACAGTCAATGGTGTGATGACTCTGACTGATTAAAACGTATATGCTAAATAAATGTACTTGACAAATAGGTACCTCTCCCTACACATTTTGATAACACCTATACACAAACCTGATACTTGAAATAAATAACTGTAATAAATGAAATAAACGGATAGAAAATGTGTTGATCTTGTTACTGGTAGCACAGATATACGTATATCTGTGCTGGTAGTTATAGTATAAGATACGCTTATAAACTGAACTGAAGCATAGCATGTAACAGCTAGTTACAGATTACAAGGGAAAACGGAAATGTCCCCTTATACTAATAGTTTTGATTTTTTTAAATAATACAAAAATATGTCACGTTCTTGCTCATAAACCTCATTCACCTCCACCGCTTTTTTCAACAAGGGTTCCTCCTAATATAAAAAACAAAAAAAAAGTAAACCTGATGCGATGTGAGTTTCAAATCTGGTACATTTTAATATAAAACAAGGACGAGGTATTCCTATCGGTGACGTCGAACCGAAGGGGGTTCATAAAGGGTAAGTCGAACGTCTATACGTGACACATCTACTGATGATGTTAAAACTTCTACAAGCGACGTGAAAGGTTAAGTGTGACTATATCGAAAATGGAGATTCGGAGGAAGGAAAAATGCAATATATTGCCACTTGATTCTTTTTGCATTATATAACGTAGATTTTAAATGTGTATATATAAAGAGCCCCCGTCGCATTACTATTAATCATCTAGCAAGAAGCTACAGATCGAGAAATATAGCATGCTACTACCGTATAACCCAATTATAATCTACTTTGGTTTAAAAATTGCCCTTTATCAAACGAAAACCTACTACTTTATACATTTTTCACGTCGTTATAACATCCTTTACCTATAAAATGGTTTCAACTACCATCTAACCGCATAAATCTGTTCAGCACGAAACACTATGTCTTAATTAAACAAATATGTATAGATCTCCAAAGCCCTTACTATAATTATAAAGTTTATTTATTTCATCTAAGGTTTAAGAAACTTAAGGTTTTGTACAGCTTCAATTTAATAGTCAGTCTGACTTTCACCACTAAATTTCTCGCGTCTTGTAGAGAGCGTAATACGCCCGGTTTTGGTACAAATTTATTTAGAATGTCGATTCCTGAGCTTCACCACGTTATCTCGCAAACATGTACCTAGCTACTACCTTCACAAATAATTTGAATTTTTGACAATGATCAAAAACGCCCAATACGAATTTAGTATTTAGTTTTTGGGCACGTGTTTTATAAAATTTGAAGGTCTCTATCTGAAACGTTACTCCAACGCGCAACTTGACTTTAGCAGACGCAAAAGCTACTACCCTATAGGGCTCGCCTGGCTGCCACCAACTCGTTTACGGCGCATTTAGTACTACCCTTACAAGCATTCAGAACCAGAAGACTCTGGTAAAAAGCTATACATACTTGTAGAATCACAGAACCTTATGACTTCTTCAAGAGTTACTTGCGCCTTTCCATTGGCATGTACTCGAATCCATACCTACATTTTATCAGTGTGTCTGGGACGAAATTTGGTTGTCGGTATTCATTATCATAAAAGATTCTTGTGTCTCTTTCTGGAATAAATTGCAATTTTCCAGAGTTGTATGCAATTTCTATTGGGTGGCCATTTAAAACTGAAATCTAAATTAATTATCTTATTACATAGTTTTTGTAACGTGAAAAAGACAGTATGACTAGCCAATTCATTTTTTAACATTGTCCCTAAAATTGAAATAATAGTTAGGAACCTTAATCACATTTGATTAGATAAGAAAGGAAAACAATACTTCCTGCCGAGCGTTAGTTTCGCTTAGTTCTCTCTTGCAGTGGATACTTTATTGCAGATGTGTGTGTGAGGCTCTCTAACGTTACAGTGCTTTATTGAAGTATCTATTTAATGAATAATGATTGTATATTGAACGTGAGTAATATAGAAGTGCTACTTATATAGGTACATAGAGTCATCATTGAACTCCTTGTACGCTTACCTATATTTTTAAGGACATACTTATTATTCTGTATAAAAGAAAAACATTCGAAAAATGAAGTTTTCAACATTAATAAAATCTGGCAATATCATTAGGTATTGCATAAACTAAAAGGAAATAATGGAACTTGACGCGACTGACTAAGCAAAAGTCAAGTACATTAATTACAGATATCAGCTGGAATTACTTTTTCTTGGCCTATCTAGTCTAATCGTGCAGTTTTTCAAATTACCTCAATTTATAATCTGTAATTTGTCAGTATACTTACGTCAAATTTCCACTTCTACTCATTAGATCAGTCGTGTCACAAAGTCACATAATCACTAGGTTTCAAAAGATAATAATCACAAATTTGCAATTCTTCACATATTATGTGTAGGTATCTTTAGACTGGGGTACTGATTGCCTTTGTTTTGTTGAAATTAATTAGGTAGTTATCTGTTTATACCTACTGCGATTAAATGACATCCGCCAGATAATGTTGCAACTTTGTATTCATCGCAAGGAGGATTCGAGTAGATTTTAAATGAATTAGCGACGTCAGCAAACCACACCAATTGTTATGAGTTTTCCATGGCAAATAAAATAGCACATTCAGCATATTTAAACCGATTACCGCATAAGAACACATATATAACAAAACAATACAGTCTTCCATTGTTATGGCGTTGCCAGGAACATATAGGGTCTAAACTATACTATTTGACATTCATCTTCATTATTAGGTACAGTGGGTCAAGTACAGTATTGAATTGAAACTCTTAAGTCGAAGTAAATAATTCTGTAACAAAAATGTCGATTATATGAAAAATAACAGCCGTTTTTTGTAGACCGAAAATCATATTCGTTAAAACAAATCAAGTACTAAACATATCTAAAGACATTTCGTTCGCGGTACAACGGTCAACGGTGGAATGGTGGTGCATTTTCTGAAGAAGAAGCCTACCCAGCAAACACAGGTATTACTTCTACCTAAATGTTACTTTAGAAATGTTGCAGTAAGTGGTGTAACTGGAATGTTGCATGTAGCCTGCAATATCCTCAGAGGCTGATTAGAGATTTTTGCTCCCTTAGGCCAATAAGAATTTGCCGCCCTTTAAAATTGAATAAATAATTTAAGAATAAAAGAACATTTTCACACAAAGTACTACAAACAATGTTATTCTTTTACACCACCTAAAATATATTTCTATTTATCTATTTGGTTTTAAAATAACATTTTTTGGCAAAAAAATACTACATTCAAAATTTTAACTAAGCAAACAAAATGTTTTAATCATTACAATGCAAATGATTTTTTTCTAGCTTTTTTTTCTGCAAACTTTTGCAGTACTAACTCAAAATCTAATTTTTTACACTACTCGGCTTCAATACATAAGATATCGTGAGACATGCTAGATCGTAAGTAATTCAAAATTCGTTTTAATACGGAGCAGTTTGTAACGGCAATATCCAAGTAAGGAAAAATGTGTACTAACCTCTCAGTACTCATCTCAAGTAGACTTTAGTTTGAGCTACGTATGCTTTAAAGTGCAAACATTTATCGTAAAGCACTAAAGCTTCAGATTCAATAATTTTTATAATTTTATAATTTTTTGAATTTTAGACATTTTATTTATTATTTTATTAATCATTTTTTTGTACTTTGGTAAAAATTTACCGCCCCTAAAACACTGCAGCCCCTAGACCATGGCCTATAGTGGCTAATATGCCCCTAAATATCCTACTCAAAGCAGCACTATAACTGTAGTAGTGCAGCCGTTATATACCGTTGTGGAAAAGGAAAAGTGCCAATATAAAGTTTACATAACATAGGGTGCTAACCACACTACCTAATACTGCAGCTTTCATTTAAAGATTTGGAGGTTATTGATGTAATAATAAACTGATGTTTAATTAAGTTTCTATTTGCATTTTTGTTATGAGTAACATTTGTAACAAACACAATTCGAAGTATTATACCTTCTGTTAACATGCACGTACTGCTCTTATAAGCTAATGATTTGTGCAGACAAGAAGCCCATTATTCTTTTCGCTTTAGTTTTAACATCGATACTCTATCGCCTAATTGCATTTTGTCATTTTCGAAGAAGCGATAAATACTTATATCGTTGAGTGAAGGATTAGTTACTCAATGCTTATATTAAATCTTACCTATTGCTGTTAACGTAACCGAACGTGAATATATTGATAATTATAAATCAGAAGAGCAATAAATGACCGCAAACTGTGGTTAAGGGTTACGAATATGGTATTGAATACTTTGTGACTATGTAGAAGTTTTTGTTATACGAGGGTCGTTTTTTTTCAATCTCAAATTATGGTCCACTCGAAGCACTCCATTCTTCAGGTCTATAGTAAACACGAATTTTCTCCTCAAATCCATTCCTAAAATGTATATCTATAACATCAACCTACATATAAACTATTTGGTTGATTCATCAATGACGCAAGTTGGATGACAGTCTTCGGGATAACGCGCTGCTTATACCCTCTTCCCATCAACCCGTTCTAGTTTTCTTGATTATAGGTCGCTGTATTGTCGGGGCAATTTCGTTTAATGTGCCATTTTTAACCACATCCCCACGCAGTCCTCGCCGTCTGTCGTCTTCATAGCATTATTCTGCCTAAATGTCTAAATTGTCGCCACGATCGTTTTTCATTACTATCACCTTCGCCAATAGCACAATCCAGCAGCATCTTCCCGAATGGTCAATGGATTGCACGACTTCTGCTGTTCATTTGTTTTTCTTTTTCAGTAAGAACGGAACTTTTATTGCACCCGAATCTCTCCTATGATTCAGTGGAACTCGCTAATACATGAATATGCCTGCTAATCTCGCAAAATTATGTACCAACAAGAACAACGTTAAATATGTACTCATTATTTATAACACATACAGTAGTGACTCTACAAAACAAGATGGATTATGGTAATCAATAACTATATAACGTATATGAATTATACAATTGTGGACGCGTTCCAATTGAAATAAACTTATTTTGAATAATTTCAAACGTATGATAGTTCGTGATCTTGTCACTTGCTATTGCTATTTTTTAAACCATTTTTTGTCGTGTCATATTTATATTTTGTATTGAGTCTACTCGAATCCCAGGTCAATATCAATCAATACCCAAAGCTGTGTATATGCCTGTCAATACATTCTTGAAAAATAATTAATCAATGTTTCCTTTCCAGGAATGGATTTCTTCAATTATGCGTCTTCCTATCAAAATGTGTCTCCTTATAATTATCGGATGCCTAGTGGTATTGTATCAGTACCACCTGACAAGATCGTGGGTATTACCACAGCAACATTCCGACATTCAAGAAATGTACAATATAAAGGGATTAGATGGAAATAAAATACTCGATTCCAAAGACAGTGACGCAAATAATAACTGTGTAAGATTCTACGGAATGTGACGGAAATCTTTTAAATTTTAACTTTCAGTGTTCAATGATGCCGCCGTATTTACGAAAAGATATCAATGTACCTCCATTGTATATAATTACTCCTACATATAAAAGGGCCGAGCAACTGGCAGAATTAACCCGATTTGCTCATACTTTGATGCTGGTTCCAAATGTTTCTTGGCTTGTGATTGAAGATGCCTTTGAAAAATCACCCCTAGTAGCTAAGTTACTAGACAAAACTGGTCTTCGTTATGAACATCTTACAGGTAAGGGTTAAAAATTATTGTGCGTTGAACTTTTAACTGGAGTTCAATCTTGGTAATCAATGTAGTACGCGATTATCTAGGTGATTATAATGTTGGTTTCCTGTGCGTTATCAAACTTATTGATATCCATATATCGCAACCTACAGGAGGGTCATTTATGGCCAAACAGTAAATAGGTCACCGTTAGGAGAAATTCTTATTTTACCACCCGCACGTTAGTAAGGGCCTAAGGGGGTATTTAATTGGGGTAAAAAATGACCCTCCGCTTTTTTAGGAAAATACACATTTCGCAACACCAGGAGTCCGTATCAAACAAATCTCTATGTCTGTCGGTCTGTCTGCCTGGACTCTTATTTAAAATACACATTTCGCAACACCAGGAGTCCGTATCAAACAAATCTCTATGTCTGTCGGTCTGTCTGCCTGGACTCTTATTTCCGGTTTAACGCCTAAACCGATTGGAACGGGTAGTATACGCGCATGTTCGAGTGGTATATGCGCTAGCCACACCAAATTTTTGAAAAACCACCGTCGTTATTGATATAAATACCTAATATAGTGTAGTGGCGGATATACAAATATAAAATTGACCATGACCAAAACCAAGCGACAGTTTTTTTCATTCAATACCTTCCATACCTACGCGATATTTAATTTAAATGATTTCATAAGTCAAAAAGTTGGTATTGTGCATGCGCAAAATTAAATTTTAAAACTGGTGTTAAATTTGCTTTTATTCCAAGTGCCTATATGTATTAAATTTCATTTAAACCTTTCGTAAATACGAAAGTTGGCGTTGCGCATGCTTAAATCCACATTTTTAAATCGTTACCAGTTTTACTTTTTTGCAAAGTACCTACCTACATGAAATACCTATGAGATTTAATTTAAATAACATCATAAGAAAACATTGCACATTTTCGCCTCCCAAGATATAGGACTCGCGAGAGCCAGGGTTGCAGAACGGCAAAACATGTAGCAAAAATTCGGGTAACAGACTACTTTATGTGTTCAAGATAAAATAAAGAACTTTCTTGCCAATAAGCAAAACTGAACGTTTTGACAAGACAATGTATACCCAACCTTCTGAGTTGCCGATTGGGTTTTCAGTGAAACTTTTGATTATGCAAATTTTAATGTGATTGAACATAAAAAATACCTACAGCAGAAAGGAATTACCTAAGCCAGTTATCTTAATTGAGATAACGAATGACTTTACTGTCCCCTACACGCCCTGCCCTAATTTTCTATTGTTTGACAAAAATATGCGTATTTTAAATTTAAGACAGTGATGCAATTATTAATGAATTTTTATGACAATTTTAAGCGGATATACTTATTCGATATACACTGTGTCGGAGATAAACACTGAACCGGAATTAAACCGTAAAGAACTATCATAATTGAATTTAGAATAAGAACGAGATTTAAGAATATAATATCGGAATATTACGAAGCCGTACACGGGCCACATATACACTTGGTGTTCTTCTTCTACAAAAAAGTTAAAATTTCGCCAAAAAAGTGAACATTTCTACAAAAAAGTGGAAATTTCTACAAAAAAGTGGAAATTCCCATAAAAAAGTGGAAATTTCGACAAAAATATTTGATGGCCTTTAAAATGATGGGTCACTCGATGGGGCGGCGGGGGAAGGTCAAATTTCTGCTTTGTTGTCGCCGCTTTCACTTTTTTTCGAAATTTTCACTTTTTTGTCGAAATTTCCACTTTTTGTAGAAATTTTCAGTTTTTTGTGAAAATTTCCACTTTTTTGTCGAAGTTTCCACTTTTTTTGTCGAAATTTCCACTTATTTTTGGAATAAGAACACCAAGTGTGTGTATGGCCCGTGTACGGCTTCGTAGAATATAAGAGCCGTGTTTAAAAAACCTTCGACTGCACAACATTTCTCTTATAATATTAAATTAGTATCTCTTATTGTTTCTAGAATACCTATTGGCCCGTATGAATAAAAATAAGCAAATGCCTATACTTGCAAAATTCAAAGTAAATACTCGTAAGTGCTCCTTCGCACTGGCCGACTTAGCAGAAGGACAGGACGTAGTGCAGCGCTGCTAAACCATGCTAAACAGACCAGTATGAAGGGGCAGTTACGAGTATTTACTTTGAATTTTGCAAGTATAAGCATTTGCTTACTTTTATTCATACGGGCCATTATAGTGGCCCTCCCTATCTAGTATTTCGGACACAGTGTATGTGTAACGGGTCTCCTCTTCACAATAAAATACTGAAACACAATTTGAGAGATTCTAACAGAGGCTAAAAGAGTAGGTGAATTAATATGAAAGAAACTTGCAAAATGAAATAAATACCAAAGTAAAGCAGATTGTGCTGATTCCAGGCAGTAATAATAATATTTAATATTCATGTAATAATAGTTTACCCAAATGATGTACTTTTATAGCTCCGATGCCAGAAGAATACAAAAACAAGAAAAGTGGTCCTAAGCCTAGAGGGGTGTCCAATAGAAATAAAGGTATTCAATGGGTAAGAGCCAATGCAGTCGATGGGGTTTTGTATTTTGCTGATGATGATAACACTTACGATTTGGAATTATTTCACGAGGTAAGTGTCAATTTCTCAATCAACGTTATAGCACTAATTACTATAGATCCGTTACACTAAACGCGTTTCTATGTTTCCTGTTGGATTAGTAACAAAATTAGGAGTTAGTTCACCTATTGTAAAGAATGGAATTTTTTCGGGTTTTTATGATGGTTGGATAGCGGGTCGCAAATTTCCAGTGGATATGGCGGGTTTCGCTATATCCGTAAAATTTTTGTTGCAACGCCCTAATGCAACAATGCCGTACAAGCCAGGATACGAAGAGGATGGATTCTTAAAAAGCTTAACACCTTTTGAACCAAAGGAGATCGAATTATTAGCGTCAAACTGCTCTAAGGTAATAATTAGGCCAAACATAGACTGAACAATAATTGTATATTTATTTAGATACTAGTATGGCATACTCAAACTAAACGAAACGATCCGTCAACTACCTTGGACTTAACCAAATACGGAAGCACAAACATAGAGATACTAAAGAAGAGTATTATGTAGATGAATTGCAATGAAGGGAACTTTCAAAATGGAATACCAGAGTAAAGCAGCTGATTGAACAAGATCCGACTGAATAATTATAAGTATACCTACTTGAATTACGACGATAAAGTTCGAGCCAAACACGAAATGAATATATTTTAGATTCATTATAAACTTGAATGATTGTACCTACGTATATAGGTACATCAGAAGTATAACAGCCTTGCTGAATGTATTCATTAATATTCATAAAGGCATCTTCACAACAAAACTTAACCATTCAAACACTTTTGAGTTCTGTTTTGTTAGAGAATGATACAGTATAAACTAAATATTTTGTTATAAGCAATTTTTTTTATTTAAAATTTATTTAAAAACTATTACTATTTGAAAAACATAGGTATTAATCCATGGTATATTTTCATGGCATTTGTGATAAACATCGTAAATAGTAGTTTTTATAATACCAACTATTCAAAAAGTTTAAAAATGGCAGCTTTTCACACTTCCTAAATTCCAATATTCCCTTTTATTGCGTTTTCGCATTAAATTAGTTTTAACTCTTATAATTAACGTATGTTAACAATCTTTTCAAAGCAAATCCCTAGAGGGGCACCTACTGCTCATTGTATAGGTTTATACTATTTCATCAAAGAATAAAACTATAAAATCTCGATATTGTACCCTTAACATAATCAAAATGAATATCTACATCATATGCTTCAGTTTTTTTGTGTCTTTGGCATGAACTTTCTTCTAAAGAAGCGGTGCTTCAAGTTGTGATTTTTACGTAGTTTCATATTATGACAATTTTTTGACATATCAAAAGTTAGTTACACTTATATACTTTATATTTTGTTATTGAATTCTTTCGTAAACCATGTGCTAGGCATGTACTTAATTCAGTATGATGTTATCAGCGACTATATGAATCGATGAGGAAAGAGTAGTGGATTCCTATTAGTTATAGGTAAATTTTTGGTTTAATTTTTGAGTTTTATAAACTTAGTAGTAAATTTTCAATACTACTCCTTTCTCGTCCTTATTTATACATAGGAACAAATTGTAGCATAGTTTATTTTAGATAGGTAAACCATAAGGCAATATTGTTTTCATTCTCAGGAATTTGCGGTTAAGCACATTCGCAATATTTATTTAATAAATAGTTACAAAACCATTTATACCTACTCTGAAAAGACATGCTTCGTTTTATTTCCATTCCATACCCAGTTTCTTATCGGTTTCTAAGACTCTGTGTGGAAGCAGGGGCGGACTGGGTAACTGCGGGCCAGGTGGAATTGCATCGGTTACGGGCCATTAAAGTATTAGTGTAGTAATGATGGGGAGGGGGGGGGTAGCTCTGAGGTGCACCACAAAAACATATTAAAGTATACTCCTTTCTCGAAAATCAATTACCATACAGTTTTTTTAAATTGCAGCTGATAATTAAAAGTAACAAAATATACAATCCACACGAGGTGCGTCGCCTATCATTGTATTTCAGCACTTTCATGCTTCGACAAAAAATGATAAATTCATTGTAAAACACTTCAATTAAAACAGAATTTTTTAACAACCTAACATCAACCCCAATATTAGTGAAAAGTGTTAATAATTTTTATTAATAGTGCAAGAAACTAAATACGGCACATACTTATAAATTTCCAACGGGCCATTATGATCTACAGGCCAGGTGGCAATCGCCACCCCCCCCCCGGGCCAGTGCGCCCCTGGTTATACACTGCCTTTTTTTGACCCCGAAAAAAACATTGTCTCAGATCGACCCGGAAAAAAAATTTTCTTATAGAATGTGGCCTGTAGAATCCATAATTTCAAACAGTTCCAAGATTGGGCTACTAGTTCAAAAGTTACAGCCCTTTGAATTTTTTTTCGAAATTGGTTTCTAGTCTATAACTTTTGATTGAGAAGTCTGATCGAAAAAGTACGAATTGTTTTGGATTCTACGCACCAAAATTAATAAGAAAAAGTGTTTTCCCGAGAATTTTGGTGTAGTCGATTTTTGGTAAAAAAGGAAGGTTATACACTGCCTTTTTTGGGCCCCAAAAAAAATTGTCTAGATCGACCCGGAAAAAAAATTTCTTATAGAATGTGGCCTGTAGAATCCATAATTTCAAACAGTTCCAAGATTGGGCTACTAGTTCAAAAGTTACAGCCCTTTGAATTTTTTTTCGAAATTGGTTTCTAGTCTATAACTTTTGATTGAGAAGTCTGATCGAAAAAGTACGAATTGTTTTGGATTCTACGCACCAAATTAATAAGAAAAAGTGTTTTCCCGAGAAATTTTGGTGTAGTCGATTTTTGGTAAAAAAGGAAGGTTATACACTGCCTTTTTTTGAGGCCCGAAAAAAATTGTCTCAGATCGCCCCTGAAAAAAAAATTTCTTATAGAATGTGGCCTGTAGAATCCATAATTTCAAACAGTTCCAAGATAGGGCTACTAGTTCAAAAGTTACAGCCCTTTGAATTTTTTTTCGAAATTGGTTTCTAGTCTATAACTTTTGATTGAGAAGTCTTATCGAAAAAGTACGAATTGATTTGGATTCTACGCGCCCAAATTAATAAGAAAAAGTGTTTTCCCGAGAAATTTTGGTGTAGTTGAATTTTGGTAAAAAAGGATGGTTATACACAGGGGCGGACTGGGTACTTACGGGCCATTAAAGTATACTAATACTTTAATAGTAATGAAGGTGGCGAGGGGGGGGGGTTAGCTCTGAGGTGCACCACAAAAACATTTTAAAGTACTCCTTTCTCGAAAATCAATTACCATACAGTTTTTTTTAAAATTGCAGCTGATAATTAAAAGTACCTAACAAAATACACAATCCACACGAGTTGCGTCGCCTATCATTGTATTTCAGCACTTTCAAAATACTACGACAAAAAATGATAAATTCATTGTAAAACACTTCAATTAAAACAGAATTTTTTAACAACCTAACATCAACCCCAATTAGAGAAACGTGTTAATAATTTATTAATAGTGCAAGAAACTAAATACAGCACATACTTATAAATTTCCAACGGGCCATTATGATCTACAGGCTAGGTGGCAATCGCCCCCCCCCCCCCCGTGCCAGTCCGCCCCTGTGTGGAAGCAGCTTCTATAGAAGAAAAAAAAGAAAAAATATACCGCCAAGTAAGTATAACAAATTGTCGAGAATATAATTGGTATGGAGATCAAGTAGATTTGAGAAGAAATGCGTTACAGTTTCCTACCCTCCATCCTTACGACTCATAGTGACTAATAAAATGGCGACCGATCCAAGATGACGGATTTAGTGACTAATAAAATGACAACCGATCAAAGATGGTGGAATTAGAGACTATTAAAATGGCGACCGATCCAAGATGGCGGATTTGGGAACTAATAACATAGCGCTCGGTCCAAGATGGCGCCTAATAAAATGGCAGACCACACCGTCCATTGTCCCTAAAGGCTCCGCCTGGCGCCTAACGTATCCCATTGCCCAAGAGAAGGGGCATAGGGCTCGTCTCTGATTGGTGTGACGTCAGTTCCTGGTCCAGAACATACATAGGTCTGCTACTTTGATAGATGTCCAAAAATGGAAAACGAAAAAAGAGTAGTAAAATTGCTCTCAAGAGTAATTGTACACTGGTTAAATCATGGCCTAACTCTTATTAGGCCATGTGTTAAATCTCAATATGCGTAACTGCTATTGCATAAATAATAAACATTGATATTTAAAATAGAAAAGGTAATAAGTAATGTAATGTAATGAACAATTGATGCTATAGTGGCACAATATTTTCATCTACCTAATAAGGTACCACCAAGCAATAGGTACCCACTCGACTTATTTAGCTTGGAAATGATCTAATGACCTCGTCAGACAATATAAGAAATTTTTAAATCGCATAAATGAGTTGTGGAATGTGGATGTATGTCAGCATCATTATGCTCTTCTGATCAAATATCACATACATTCCGTATTATTAGGGATTGTTTGGCAGAATTGGTGTATGTTTGCCTTTTACCCACTTCGTTTCTTGAACTTGTCACAGTACAGAAGGTGGCTAACAGTTTTTTTCCAGATAGATAATAATAATAAATCATAGTTGATGTGTTACAAAGAAGCCATTTGAGAAAATGCAACTTGTGTCAATTATGTCAGGATACAGTGTTATATCCAGTCTTAATAATACGCGATTGGTATTTCTGCATAATTATGACTGTATCTGGGCATGGTTTACTTTTTGCTATATGCAATTTATAAACTCTGACATTAAAGCAATGTAGGTGATGACGAATAGTATTATTATAAATTTGAGTAAAAACAATCTTTATTGAATTACCCACATAAATACATTAAATATTCACTTAGTTTCCTTGGTAGCACTTTGAGTGCTCGACTTACTCTCCCTTAAACTTGCAGATCTTCGACGTTTCGCTTCTAGCTTCTTTGCTTTAGTTTCCTTTTTACGTTGGGCCAATAATTTGGCATAGCTGTCCGCTTGCTCCTTGCGTCTCAGACAACGCTTCTTCTTAAGAGCCAATCGATGGCGTTTTCTCTATAACAGAAATCAAGTTAGAAAGCAAATTAATACCAATGTAACAAAACTGTAACTAAATATGGTAACTTTTTTCAAAACAGGAGTGAAAAAATTACTCATTTTAGTTTTACTTTTTCATACATTTGAACGTTCTATAGCTATTAAAACTATGGAACTGCCTGAGTATGAATGCATCACTTTTTTATAACTTAGATGGAACTTTAAAAAGAGAGAGGTTTAGAGAAAAAGGAAAAACTACCTGTAATACACTGGGCGTAATTAATCTTTGAATTTTAGGTGCCTTAAACCTTGGTTTTTTACCATCCTTTTGAGGCAATGGACGTTTTACAACATATTGACGTACATCATCCTCTTTAGTTAAGTTAAATAGCTTACGAATACGAGATGCCCGTTTGGGCCCTAATCTACGTGGTATAGTAGTGTCTGTAAGTCCAGGAATTTCCTAAAAAAAACCTTACACATAAATTACACCTCAGTTAATACATCGTACCTGTTCACCTTTCCGAACAATAACTAGTGCCAAAACACTTAGATTGGCATCAACAATACAGCCTCTTACAGATTTTCTTTTCCTTTCACCTGTACGACGAGGTCGGTAACATGAGTGTCCCTTCGACAGTAACAACCTAACACGACCTACAACGTAATTCCTACACAAAAGCACCCAGTTAAGCTGCCATACCGTTTGTTAGCACTCCTTGTTTCATTGGGAACCCTTGCTTGTCATTGCCGCCTGTAATTTTGAGAACATAGCCTTTCCATTCATTTCCTAGAGGATCAGCCTCAATTTCGGCACCCATACGCTTCTCGTAAAATATACGTATTTTGTGCTCATCTACAACTTCGAATAGCTTCTGACATCCCGTTGCCGGGAACGAAACATTTAGCTGAAAAATAAAACCGAACATGTACCGTTAAATCTGAAAATATGTTCATAATCCTATTAAAGAACGACAAGTTTTCGAGACAGTTCTCTTCAAAAATCATCATTTAGCAATGTGTTGCGTATATTGGGAGATCCTTTGAATTACCTTCATGTTTTAAACAGAAGCTAATGTTAACCAACACGTCAACACGATTCCAGAACCAGCAGATGTACCTTCCGCCGCAAAACCGAAGAGTTTAGTAACAAATTACAAATGTTGTTTTGTTGGCCCTCCTGTTCTAGGTCAAAAAAGTCACCAGGATCATAGAATACTCACTTGCCCTTCAATGAACTACACACCATTCCATTGGTGCATTTAATTTAAATTCCATAGATTTGGGGGATGAGATTTATAAAAGCTATGGTAAACTCTTAGGTGATTCTAAGAGCCTTTGATAGCTCTAGAAAGTTTTCAAGTCATTTAGTACTTGGTAGATCATTTACTCAATATTGTAGCGAATATTCCAGAAAGTTGGCAAACTTTCGAAAAAGATTGGAGTTTGCTATGTAAGCCAATAAGGGCTTCAGTCAGTTTTAACTTGGATGCCAAAATGATAAATAGCTCCAACCACAAACCAAGCATTTAATTTCAAAGTACGCCCATAAAAGAAATCTTCCAAATTGAATCATCACAATTTGCAGAATAAATGTCTACTACTCACAACGTTGTTTAATAACTCTTAAGAATATATTAACAATATATAAATCAAGTTAAAATGCAATAAGACATTGTAACGTCACGGAATAACAAAAGTCTATGCACATACACACACATATATTAAAAAAAGCACAGTTCAGAACTGAATATTGTGGTATACATCATACAAGAGAATAAAAACATTTTGTTTTATTGTTTGTCACCTATTTCACATTTATGTATTCCAACAAGCAATTTTTCCAGTTGAACAAATGTTGTACAAACGCAGTGACAAACAGGGAAACCACCACAGATTCAATGCCTATTCCAACAACTCGTGACATGGTGTCATTTACAGATCTTTCTTTTACACTATTCAAGATTAATGGAGGTTTTTGGACTAACTTTTAATAGCTTTGGCACATTTTTTTCAAAATAAAATCATGTTCGCTCTCATTTGATTTATTGCTTGAATGGTAAACAGCGGAAGTCCTGGCAACAATTAAAAAATTTACGCTATAATTAGCACCTAAATTTATGCAATTTTTAATCTTTATACAATACAATACTAACGGTTTATGTGATATATCTGCACATTATATTTATTTTGTTACTTTTGGTCTTATTTCTAATTGCTGGGGTTTCAGCCAAGGCTGCTCTACCAGCCCAACCGCTATACATTCCCTCAGCACCGCAGTCAAGCTTCCACTCCAGTGCGCTACACAAGCGTTTTCTTTGATGAAATTACAGATATTTCAATTTCGGAATCAAAAAAAGAATTTTAGTAGCCATTCTAATCTGTTGTTTTAATATTTTCCATTTTCATTCGGAAGATACATTTTCTTTTAGTCGCTTTGGTCAGAATAATAAAGTTTAAAACTAAATTGGCGAATATTGCATAACAATTTCAATAAAGTGAAAATTGCAAAATAAAATTCAGTTAATTGTATCAAATTTGGAGAGTCATTATTAAAAAATGTTTACCAGTAATCAAGCAAAAAATTGGAAATCCCACAACTTCCGCTCACTAGATATTATTATAACCTTCCCTTCAGTCACTGTTCCCTTTATAGTCTGGCAGATTTCAGTAAAAAATAGCAACAACTGTGCATTAGATGAAGAAAACATGAAACTCACAGGTATTGATCAGGGTATAGTCCTGATGATTTTAAGATCGGGAGGCCTACAAAAAGTTATCAAAAATCAAAATGGCGGCCGTTCAAAGATTAGGCCTTACTTAATATGGGGAGTGCCTTATTCTGCAGAAACTATGAGTTTTTATGGAAACATGCTTTTGATCTTTGTTATAACTCTTAAAAATACCTTTACAGCGATATATTACACGACTACTTCCTACTTCCGGTTACCGGAAATGGCGTAAAAATCCGAGGTTTTCGTATTCATGCAGTTGCGTACTTTGGTTATAATTGAATAGCCCCTGGTTTTAAGAAAACCATGCTTCTAGCTTTTTTTATAGCTATTAAAAATTATTATATTGCACAAAATCCTAGTTTTTAGTATTTTAACTCCGTTAAACGCGAAAGAAATGGATACGGCCCAAAACGTGTCAGCTCCGTTACGTGTGTAACGTTCATTGCCACATATATTTTTTCTTTTGTTTACAGATAAAGGGACTACAGTTAATTTAAGTCAGATAAAGAAAAGAAGAATAGAAGGAGAAGAATAGGACAAGAAAAGAATAAGGATAAGAAAAGAAGGGGGAAAAGAATGGAAGGAATATGGATTGTAACGCACTTAAGGCGTCAGTTATGGACTGGAAAAAATGTGCCCTTTGTCAATGTGTTTCATCCAAAAAACTAATTGACCCAAGAAAGAGAAAAGGTCTGACTCCCGAAGACTGCTACAAGATCTTGGAGGAAATCATTAATTCATTAAAGAGCCTAGGAACCGTCCCGGTAAAGATCGACATATTCACATATCACTACTACAGCGCGTTCGCACCTCCAGATTCAGTATGGGGTCATTCTTCGATAATACTATCCTTGTTTCTGACGGCATTGATCTCAAATTGACATATGATTCAATTGAAGTATTAAAACAAAACATAATCTCCTTGTGCTGTCATTGTCACAGCATGCACTGTAAGCACAATACTGAATTTGGAGGTGTGAACGCGCTATAGATGAAGAGCGGAGGAGATACGTTAATGAACCATAACGCAAAGTGGCACAAGCCTTGAAGGGCATTCGGTTCCGGTTCCCTGAGCCTTTTTTTAGTTAGCCCTTCCATTGTCTTTGAGGTCAGCTTTAGGCGGCACGACTTGTGCCACTTTGCATTGTGGTTCATTAACATATCTTTTAACCCCCGCCCTTCATCTAGTAGTGATATGTCGATCTTTACCGGGACGGTTCCTAGGCTCTTGAATGAATTAATGACTTCCTCCAGGATCTTGTAGCAGTTTTCGGGAGTCAGACCTTTGCTCTTTCCCGGGTCAATTAGTTTTTCGGATGAAACACATTGACAAAGGGCACTTTTTTCCCAGTCCATAACTGACGCGTTAAGTGCGTTACAATCCATATTCCTTATATCCCTCTCCCCCTTCTTTTCTTATCCTTATTTTCTTATCATTATTCTTTTCTTGTCCTATTCTTCCCCTTACTTATTCTTACTTTTCCTTATTTGACTTAAATTAACTGTACTCCCTTTATCTGTAAACAAAAGAAAAAATATATGTGGCAATGAACGTTACACACGTAACGGAGCTGACACGTTTTGGGCCGTATCCGTTTCTTTCGCGTTTAGCGGAGTTAAAATAGGTACTTAAAACTAGGATTACAGTACAATATAACAATTTTTAAGAGCTATAAGAAAGGCTAGAAGCATGGTTTTCTTAAAACTAGGGGTTATTGAATTATAACCAAAGTACGCAACTGCATGAATACGAAAACATCGGATTTTGACTCATTTCCGGTAACCGGAAGTAGGAAGTAGTCGTGTAATATATCGCTGTAAAGGTATTTTTAAGAGCTATAAAAAAGATCAGAAGCATGTTTCCATAAAAACTCATAGTTCCTGTAGAGTAAGGCACTCCCCATATTAAGTAAGGCCTAATCTTTGAACGGCCGCCATTTTGTTTTTTGATAACTTTTTGTAGGCCTCCCGATCTTAAAATCATCAGGACTATACCCTGATCAATACCTGTGAGTTTCATGCTTTCTTCATCTAATGCGCAATTTTTACTGAAATCTGCCAGACTATTACCCAGAACATAGGAAGTTGAAAACATAACAATGGTTTGATTGGAAACATAAATGTGTTGTGCATTTTTTGTAAAAATACCATTATGTATAAGTATCAGGTAACAATTAAAAAATTACCACAAAAATCAGATTGCATAATAATGATGATACAATGCTAAATAAATGTGACATTCTACTTCTTTGTTTAAGTATAGTCCAAATGTGTTGTGTGTTTTAAATTAAGATTTGGCATTACGAGGATGACCTTCCCATGCATCCTTTTCACTTTGTCGTTCAAGTCTTCTTTGTTCTGCAAAAGTTCGTTAAACAGTGCCGTCCAACAGAAATCTTACCTCTAGCATCACGAAGCGCTTGTCGTTCTAATTCAACCTCTTCCTTACTTAATGACGATTTTGTACCTAAATGTCTATTAATTAAACGCCTAGCAGTTTGCATACTAGTTTGAGGTCTTTTCATGGCAGGTTTTAGATCACTGCTATTTGCTGTAACTATGGCGATTGTACTGCCACACTCCAATGGACGTGATTTTATAATGTCATGTTCTATTTGCAACGCTCTTTGTGCTAAAAATTGAAAGTAAATGCGCTATTGACGAAAGAGGACCGCCCACCTTGCGCTGGCGAACTCAGAACCAGTAAACAGTGTGTGTCGTCGCACCATTTAACATACATCGGATTTTCAGATGCATCTCTATACAATTGCATTATATCTTGAGTCTTAAGTGTAGATGGAAAGTCGTACAACTCTATAACGTGTTCTAAGTCTCCATATTTTGTATTTTCGTAAGCGCTATAGTCATTAGTGGCTTTTACTACTTTCACTTCACAGCCTATTTGTTTCAAAATCTGAAAGAAAAATGTAGTGTCGACGTTACTGTTAAAACTGTTTAAGGTTTAAAACTTCTAGTCAGTGAAAATTAATTGCAACTGTAAACCAGTTGACACTATCCAAATTTGTGAAAAATCTTTTGCTTGTACTGGACTATATCCATTTTTACCTAAACCCCTAAGTTGCTTTAAATAGCGAGTCAAATGATGAAGACAATGTTCCTTAGTCTCTACCCTTTCAGGCTCTAGTGCATTTACTTGCAATTTATGTTAAAAAAAAGTATATCTTATACAAAAAATAAACATTTTAGTTTGAAACTAGGCATATTGAAGAGATGCGTACTCTTGGTTGCATACGTTGTGTACACTTAGGGGTATCCAAAAATCATTTCAACAGTCATTGGTGATATACTGATATACATTATTTATCTTAGAGTAATAGCAAAATAAGAGATACAGCGCAATGCTATAAACGCGTGTTGGCTATAAGAACTCGCCCACTAGGATTCCAAAAGCGGGCCCTCGCGTAGAGGTGGCCAGAACTAACCGCCTCTTTAAATATTGGCGCGTATTGAAAATTTACAGAATTCTTTATAGAATTTCGGTTTAAAATATTTGCGCGGTTGTCACATTTAATTTTCTTTCTTATTGGCTGTATAAAATGTGGACATGATATAATTAGAAAACATTACTTAAGTATAAAAGAAAAAGAAATCAGCAACGATTCAGTACCTATTGTTAATTACATTGGTATTTTCCTGTTTAGTTGGCGTCTATTGAATAGACAGTAATTACTATTTAATTTAATAACCAATAACAGATACAATTGTAAAAATGTAAATTAAATTTGTTATTATCCATCCTTTTTAGATCGTCTACTACAATCAAATTAAAGTAGACAACATATTTCATAAAATTGGATTTTATGATGAGCATAGCGATTATTTTACAGGAAATTTTTTTTTCTTTAATTTTGTATAGATGCCTACATATGCTGAGTTGTTTAATCATTAACAATCAATCATTACAATGCAATAATCCTTATGTCCTCAGAAAAAAAACATCAGTCTAATCCAATAATCAGTCAAAATATATAGTGCAGTTAAATAATAAATTAATAAATCTGCACCCGTCGAATAAATTTAATTAAATATTTACACGTTATTCTCATTTAAACGATTCAATTAAAAAAATACTCTCGACCCGCATTTTAAGCTGCAGCACTAGCGCGCATCGGTCTCCTAGCAACTAAGCGTCATACACGTTTTTCAATCACCATTGGCTAGTAGCGGAAAAAACACATAAGTATATGTATTTAAATTTTCCGCTCAACTTGAGCCACCGCGCACTCTGCTAGTGATTCATCCATCTAAACGATTGATAATGCAGTGTATGTTCTCATTTTTGAAAACAACATTGGCTTCCACTCCAAATATAGGGTTTCTGGAGCTTTTAAATATCTCCGGAATGCGTGGGTCGATCGGACTGAAATGTATTGAGATTAAAGGGGACATTAGTCACATCGACTGGTAAAAAATATGGTCCAAATCGGTCAAGTAGTTTTTCAGTTATCGCAAAGAAACCATTTTTAAAGAGGTGGGGTTGCGTCAGGGGTTGCGTTGGTCCACAGTTTACATTTTTAACTGATTTGAAACCATTCGATCACAACTATAATCCAATTGAGGCAGTTTATTTTGGATTTATTATATTGTTTATAGTTTGGCCGGCAAAAATTAAAAAGTGATTGCAACATTTTTTTCCGGGAATCTTTCATTATCTCATTATTTGTACAATAAATGCTATAAAACGTCTATTGGCCTTTTTTTTAACAAAAATGTTCGTTTATTTCCGCGCAAGTCGGAAGTAAGTATCGTTCGTTAGACTACTTCCTCTACCTAAACTATCTAGTTCGGTCGACTTTTCCATACGGCCGTCGACGGTAGGGCGACGAACAGTGTGCACAAAGGGCAGAGACGTAATCAAAGCGAGCTTATTACTCGCGCTTACTGGGAATACACAATACACACTAAAAAATCTATTATTTACCGCTCAAAAAACGGCTTATTGTTACACGAAGAACATATCTTCGCACCTATGAATCAAACCAACAAGCGTTCGGACCTTAATAAATTGTGCCATAAGCTTAGAATGGTATAACATATCTCTAAACATCATACATTTCAAGGAATAATAGATTCCTAAATAAGTTCAAGCAAACACTAAACATTTGGCAACGCTGGGATTTCTGCAATGATATTTATAAACTTCTAAACAAGTAGTTGCCTTGAAATAGCCCCTTAGGCGTAGCGTACGCCAATAAAATTGAGAAAAAGCAGTACGCAACACACAATACATATGCAACACTATTCTCTATGCCGTTGAATCTCTTATTATGGTTACTCTTTGGTAATAGTTAACAAGTTGTGAGGAAGCTGTATTTTTAAAACAATAAGTAAATTTTTTATTTCAAAGTGCAAGTTAGGTGCATACTGCTGGGCGACCCTACCCTACACACATACATAGTAAAATTGACATTTTTTTCTATTACTCTCGATAATCCGGTACTTTGATAATCTGGCGATTGCGTGGTCCCGTATCTGTCGGATTATCAAGATAATCAATCAATGATAACGTGTCAGATGTCTTGATAAAACGTTACCTAATTGTTTGAATAGAAACATTCATAGATGGGAAATTGTAAAAATGCCATTTCAATAAGCCATGCCACAAACTATACCTGCGAAATTGCCTACTGAAACATCTGCTTGAATACTTTACCGCATAACTATTTTTACTATGTAATGAGTAATCTGTAGTGTTTCAATCGGTGATACAGTACTTGATTACGATTAGTTCAGCAACCCGTCATGTAGGTCTAGGTATTTTCTAGTTCCACAGATTGAATTTATTGAATATTATAATAGGGCATTTATCTTAACATTGCGCGAAAAATATTTCAAAATTGTAAATCGTTAAAATAATTAGTGAAACATGGTTTGTGAAACCCACATTATTTTAAAATGCCTTTTTTATCTCTATGTCTCATAAGGCTTTGAAGAACAACGCAGAATTTAATGATATTGAAAAGTAGAATAAAAAACAGCAAAAATAATTCAGTCCCCACCACAACACACTACTTACTTCTCCTAAATATTCTGAATGTAATTCCCCATTTTCGTCAAACATATCTTCCCAACAAGCAAGATGGCTTTGTTCATCATTAGTGTCCGGTTCAAGTTGGCCTAGATTTTTTGCATTTTCTGTTAAATTGGTACTATGCTGAGAAGTCTCCTTCGATTCGCTCGTCCACAATGAATTACCATTATGGGTATTTTTAATCAATGGCCTTCTTTTCCTGCTTATGTTTTCGATGGCTCTCTGCATCTCCTCCTTCTCATTATCAGTGTCACAATCTTCTAGCTTCTTCTGATCTTCAATATTATACGAAATATACAATTGCGAAAAATTCACATCTTCTTCCACAACAGTAGAATTGGTATCGATAGGTGCCACAGCACTGTGAGATGATTCAGTGTGTTCCTCTTTCTCACAGTCATACTTTTCTGTTTCTTCATTTTTGGATTCAATTTGTACATTCATTTCTTTTTTATCACAATCTAATGTGGCACATGGAGGCAATTCCTTAGTACTGTCATTTTCACAAGATTGCACAATGTCATTGGCATTTGTTAACTCAACACTACTAATTTGATCGAGGGCGACACTATTATTATCATCATTACTAGATATCGCCTGACTAGCACACAAACTATCATTAGAGGCAGTAAATAAAGATTCTTCGACATTACCTTTGCATTTTGGTAACTGTTTCGTGCCTTTTTTAGTTACATCATGTTCTTTTACCTTCCTGAAAATCCTTTGAGCACAATAATGTCACGATGAACACAATACTTACTGTTTTCTTGTTACGGAACGCTGTGCAGGTGGAACGTAGAATGGTTGTGTTGGTCTTGTTTTTGATTTCTTTGAACTTTTCGTAAGGTTTTCCTCCGATTCCATAGTTTTCGGTTTTGGTACCGAAGGACAATCATCAGTTCGCTCTCTAGAAGAATGAAATTGCAGTCAAAAATAAATACAAGAGAGAAAATGGTTACAAAAGTGCCATGTTCCAATATATTCTGTAGGTACACGATTGCTTTTGCAAGGAAAGAAAACGAATTTAAAAATAAGCAAGATTACAACAGATTAAACTCAATCCGCAGGTACGTGAAACGTGACATAATGAATACAACTTTTAACCAAAATAGACGCAAACCGATTTATGTAAATACCGCTTTTTAACAATATTACCACATAATAACCCACTATTAACAACAGCGCAATTATTATGAGTACAGAAACATGACATTAGTAAAACTAGAAATATGCTACTTACTTTATTTTTTTACACACAACAGTAGTCTTCTGATGGGGTGCTGTTCCAATACAAAACACGCTTAAATCAAAGATAAGCGCTTGATATCTTAAAACCTTCAGAAAGATGGGCTTCAACTTGGGAAATAAAACACTGAAAGTAAATGAAAGTAAAAGCATTAAATTTTACATAATAGTGAAGTCACAGACTTTCTCTTTCCTTCCGTATGTAACAACATTCCTTTAGAAGGCTTCTGGTCTCGCAATGAGAGTTATTAATTGTTTAAAGTATTTCCTTGTTTACCTGAATAACATTAAATTTATACGTACCAGTATTTATTGTCTTTTAGAATGATATTAAAATCATCTCGTACACAAGCAACAAATTCACGATCACAGAAGATTTTGTTTATTTTAGTAGATATTAACGACAATATTTCGTCTAAATCGCCATCACACATAATCATTAAGTGATTTAATTACAAGGTTACATTGAATTGAAAATGAAAGTTGTCATGTGGTCTATGGTCAAGAAGACTCAGGATCGTAATCAGAACATACGCCCTTTACTTTCTTTACCTATGTTATTGATTATATACACTTATATAATCAATGCCTATGTTGAATTATAATGTAACCAGAGCTGGACAGAGCTTGAGGGGTTTGTGCTTGTAAAAACTAAACCAAAACTAAACTTTAAGCGCACTTTCTTGTGTTTGTAATTAGGACTTGGGGCTTTAAACTTCAAGGAAAAGTGCTTCAAGCCCTTTTTCCTCTACAAGCTCTTTTCAAAAGTGCTTTGTGCTTGTAAAAGTGCTTTCAAGCTCTTTCAGGGCTTCCGAGCTTGTCTAAATTACAATTTTATTCAAGCACTTTAATCACACATGAACATTGTGTGGTACGAAAAATTACCTCTCAGCATTTCTTTTTTAAGAACACAGTATCACATAGTGCAGAGCATTCAGATTCAGTATGCTTTAGCGTTAATGAGATGTGTTTGTGTTTTAATCTTACAATTTAATTTTTTTTTAAGTTTTTGGGCAGCCTACGTAGCTGAAAGACTATAGTGACTTTTCATATACCCTTAAGAACATGTGTACCAATTTTCAAAGCGACTGGACGTTTCTAAACAAAGTTGTTGTCAGAGCTGGACAAAGCCCTCTTGAAAAGGGCTTGAAGCACTAAACACCGAGCACTTTGTTTTGATAAAAGTGCTTGCAACCCTAAGCACTTTTATGTGATGAAAGAGCTTGGAATTACCAAGCACTTTTTAAAGTAATTGAAAATACAAAGCACCAAGCCCTTGGAAAGTGCTTGAAGCCATTTAAAGTGCTTGAAGCCCTTTGAAAGTGCTTGAAGCCATTAAAAGGGCTTGAATCACCGTAATTGACAATATAAATTAATATAAATATAAACAATATAAAGCAGCTTTCATATTACTGGAAACACTCTAAAAAACACGCTAAAAACAGTACTTCCGCATCGTAATTATACTGGAGGAATTAGTGGTTTCGCTAAAGTTTTGCTTGTCCAAATTTTCGTTTAAAACTATTAGGTAAACAAAAAAATGTTGTTATCGGTACAGTACTCTCCCCGTAACCATGGGTAATGTAGAAGTAATAACTGATGCATGTGCTATAAAAGTAGGTACTACAAGAAAAAAATCCAGAATGTTGCTCAGAAATTCCTTGACACTTGTTACTTGTAAGTACCTACCGAGACGTATCTTCTGAAATAATTGAAATTAGTGATAGTATGTTATGTGAAGAAATACACAGATAAAATTTGTAAACTTTTAGTATGTAGGCAATCATTCTTAATTTACAAATATAAAAGGACAATAAAAGATAACAATTCCTTATAATCAAAGTAATACAGATATAAGGGTTAAGACTTAAATAAAAAAATAACTTGCAAACAAAAATTTAAACTTCTACTATTCTTGGTATTTACTATTTTGGTGGTTTGATGTTATATTCTGGCCTTTTATAAAAATGGTTAGTTTAGTGGCAAGTGCGTGGTAATTGATTAGGTACTTTTTTTGCCGTTCAGGTAATGTATTATATACGCGGCATTAAATTATCTGATTATACCTATCGTAATAACTATAACAAAACTTAGCGTATGCCGGTATGCCCTGAATATGAGAGGGCAGCGTTAATAAATGGCAGAACCTACCTCTTCCTTTTTTTGTTCGCGAAATCGTACGACCCCTTTCACAGGAAACCACACAATACGAAAAACAAGAAGTCAAAAGTGGGATGTGCAGACATGCAGACTAATCACTAACGAAGCACAGAGCACGGTGGTAACGTCAGAGTAGGAGCGAAGGAATGAGTAAGACCTTTGAATAGAAATTATATTCAAAGGTAAAATTATATTCAAAGGTAAGACTAAGGGTCTTATAAATTCGTCACCTAATTCACGATAAGAGCTTCGTTATGAAAGTGCTTGAAACTCTTTGTAAGTGCTCGAAGCCCTTAAAAAGTGCTTGAAGTTCTTTGAAAGTGCTTTAAGCTCTTGGAAAGTGCTTTAAGCTCTTTGAAAAAGCTTGAAGCTCTTTATAAGTGCTTGAAGCCCTTGAGAAATGCTCGAAATTGTATGAAAGTGCTGCAAACACTTCGATAGGGCTTGAAGCCCCAAGCACTTTTAAAAAGTGCTTGGTAATTGAAGCACTTTTTCCTGAATTAGAAAAGTAATTGAAGCACAGAGATCTAAGCACTAAAAGTAATTGAAGTCCTTTAGCAAGCACGTTTTTTCAAAGCACTACCCAGCTCTGGTTGTTGTGCACACGGCCAAACAGCAATGACAAAATTATAAACGATCTCAAGGATCGTTAATAAGGACTCAGGACTTCGAGCAAAAGTGCTTCAAGCCATTTTCCTAAAAGTGCTTTGGAAAAGTGTTCGAGTCCTTTCAGGGCTTCAATCCCTCAAATTGTGTACAAGAGTCTTGTCCTGAAGTGCTTTGTGCTTGCAGTTCAAAGCCCTTTTAGAAGTAATTTCAAGTCTTTCTGATGACCGGTAGTAATTTGTGCCTGAGTAGCGAAGCACATTGACTAAGGGCTTTGTGCTTAGAGCTTCAAGCCCTTTCAGTAAGGGCTTTGCCCAGTTCTGAATGTAACGAACTGTACATCTAAGCATTGATTATTTATACAGTTGGTGTATAATCATTAATCAATGATCAAAAGTTTCTATAAAGCATACCTACCACCTACCACTTACTGACATACGCAATGTTGACAAAGTTGTCAGAGCTATTTTTATTTATTTCCGACTTCATTCAAAATGCAATTCAGAAAAAGTTTAATGAAAATTTCTTAAAATATGGTAAGTAGGTATATTACCTATCCTACTTTATTTAGAAGAACATAAAAATTTTTAATTGATTATACAGTGTGTAAAGCGATGGGGTATACAAGAGGGAATTTGTGTTTAAATATTGATTTATGAAAAACAATTATTATTCATGATATGTTTTGCTTGCTTTGAAAGTACCAATAACGTTTTGATAATCTAAAATTTATTTATAGAAATCTGGAAAAAGAATAATACTAATTTTTTTAATTGAAACTTATCATTCTACATTATAATTAAAATAGAGTATTGCTATCAAACCACAAACAATCGAAACGTTATTGGTACTTTCAAAGCAAGCAAAAAATATTATGAAGAATAAATTTTTTTCATAAATCAATATTTAAAAAAAATTCCCTCTTGTATACCCCATCGCTTTACACACTGTATATGTGTATGCAATGTATAAAACAACATATAGTAACACATGATGGATAAACAATTTAGTGCGAACATGATATGGGGTAACACGCGTATCTTAACTGTAGTAACATTTACCACATAGGTACCTATTTCATAAGGCTTCGAATTTAGGTAGTTCAGGGTATTATCTTTGTTTTTGTTTATTCATTTATTTATTATTTCATGAATAAACAATGGTATTACTGTTGTTCAGAGCTGGGAAGAAATCGATTACAATTGTGATCTATTACAGTATTTAATTACTTTCTGACTTCTGTGTAATCAGTAACTAAATACTTTTAAAGTACTGTAATCAGTATTGTAATTTAATTACTTTTCTCAGTAATATAACACACTACAAAACGAATGTATCAAAAAGGAATTATAACATTTCACATTCACAGTTTATTTTATGAAGTATATGAAAAATGAATTAAAAAATTACACTCCATGCTCTAGTACTTAAAACACTTTTCTTAACAAAATCTTGCCAACTGTGATATAAAATTTTAACGCCTCTTATTTTTCTTCTTATTTTGTTGAGGCTTCTTTTGTCGGTTTTTAGGTTGTGGGGAAGGTTCGACACTTGACATAGGTGGACTCTTTTGAATCTCCTCCGAAATTTTCGAAAAGTCACTAAAAACGAACACTGTAAAACCAAAATTCAGAAATCAGATTCGTACTATTGATCAGCCTGGGCTGATGTCGTTCCCTGAGAGCCTTTAATAACCTCCTTAGCCCTACGGTCGCGTCTTTTCCTAAAACCTGTTCTTTCATACTTTGGTAACCACCGCTCTGGATCTGGCGCCACAGTTGAATCGTAATTTTTGGGTAATCTGGGTTTACGTTTCTTTTTATTTTTGACTTTATTCAATTCAGCTTTTGGAGTGCTACAAAAATTTTGTAATGATAGTTCTACTAAACTTGGGCTCAGTTCTTACCCGGGGGATTGTTCCGGTTTATGTGCAGTTTTCTTGAGAGTTATCCAACTTGCACTTTCCAGGGCATCAATTTCACGTTGAGACAATTGCTTTTCAGATTTGGGAAATTTGTTCATTAACGTTGCGGCCTTTTTCTTATCAAACTGGAGAAAATGAACTACAGGATTTGGAACTTTGTATTTGACATACCTGCATGTAAGCGAGAGCTAAATGAGCAACGGACTTAAAGTCAGACGGATTACTGCGTACGAGCTCCTCAAGGCTATTTGCTGCTACCACCGCTTGACCATTACGCATATGCATGTCAGCGGCTTGCCTCCACATACTGCTCAGATCAGCTTTTATCTGCGTGAATTTTTGATTTTACATTCAGAGATGTAAATATAGGTCATGTTATAGACTAATCTGTGACATTAATAAATTACCTTATTAGTTTTGTACCAGTCAACCGTCCTCTCGAAGACTTTTAAGGCAGTATCTTTCTTCTTCATTCCTAAGTATAACGTAATCAACGCTCCAACAATGGCTGGCTTGTAGCTATCAGGTCCCATGCTTTCTAAAACTTTACAAGCCTCTGCTTGCTCTCCCTGAACCGAACTATGTACTACATTCTGTGGTTAAAGAATGTCCACATACCTGTGTGAGAAGAAGGTGAACAATAACCAATTTGACATAAAGTTGCTCCTCATTATTTTGGGACTTATAATTATTCAAGAGTGCAATTGCTTTGCTATGGCTGTTACATTTGGTTAAAGAAAGAGCGTGAGTAATTCTGGCTTGCAAAGCAACAGACGGCCACGCTTCTTCAACTCGTTCGCATGCCTTATTGCACAAATCAAAATTATTCGTGTAATACGTTAAGATTGCATTGTTCAGAGCAATTTGCCTCCTTTGATTTGCAGGAAGTTTATGAATTAAGCCTTCGCTCGTAGCTGCTTTCATTTTCTTCTTTGAGTCAAACACATTTTCACCCTTGTTAATGGAAACAATATTATTACTCGCCACTGCAATTAATGCTGTATCGTCTAACTTCAATTTTAAGGCAGCCGTATACATTTCATACGCCTCTTTCGTTTGGCCTCGTTTTTGATAAACGTAAGCTAATTGCACTCTGAAAATCAAACTCTGAGATCAAGTAAATAATTGCGCGTAAAGTACTTTAATAAAGCCAACTCGATTTCAATCTCATCCTCAGAAGCGCCATCTTCTTCCAAAGAGCCACGACACAACTTCTCACACACCTTTAGTTTCTTCTCCGCGTCACTGTACCGTCCTTGTGCAATTAAGATACATGCCCAATTGTAGCATAGTTCGTACGTGTCGCTTCTGAGCTTTACTGTATCATTTTTCTGTGAATATAAAGTATTTAAAATTACAAGTAGGTACAGTGTGGCACAAAAAGAATGCACGAATTTCCAACCCTCGCAAATAGTTTTATTTTCATCATACAAGTTTTTTATTGCCAGCAATAACTCAATTTCAGAATTGATAATTGCTTCTTTTTTAAGTACACACATTAAATATTTATCTTTGAAATTTTGGATTGTGTTTGTTTGATGTAGAAACGCAGCAACCTATTTACATTGTGAAGTGATCCAGGTTACACTACGCTACTGAAATCCAAGCGTTCTTTTTGTATCACTCAATAATAATAATAATAACCATGTTTACTTCATTTTGATATTGATTATTTACAGAAAGTCAATACAAAAATCGAATTACTTACAACATTCATATGCTGTAACTGTGTAACGACAGCAGTCAAATTCGTCTCGCGTTCATCGGAATAATCATCATGAGTGTTCTTAATTACATCTCTGTATAACGATAAACACTCACTGAACGACTCTAGGCGATATAAAATTTGCGCCTTAAGTTCCTTTATGCGGTAACTCTGTTCAGCTTGTTCCACCGTAGCCAATGCTTCCTCAGTTTGATTTAATCGATACTGACAGTAGGCCTTCTCGAAGTGTAAATCTCTGAAAATGAATGTGATGGTATTGATGATGTCAGAAGCCACTTACGTACTTTGAAAGTGCAGCTTGCCTTTGCATTAGCTGCAACACCTCATTAAACTTCGATAAGTGAATTAAGCAAACAATTTTGCAATTAAACGCATTTTCATCTTGGGGACTGAGTTGTAGGACTATAAAGCAAAAGATATAAGTTCTAGGAAGAGGAATATCTTAGCCTACTTCGATTCGTGACTTTTAGTGCACGATCATATTCTCCATTCTGGCCTAAACGCTGGAGATCCAAAAAAGCATTTGACAACAACTTCTCCTTAGGGTCTGCTTTATCGCCATCCATCTTTCTATATGCAATATCTAAAATTAATTAACTAATGATCACAGTCACTTGTTACACTAATTGCTTTATTTAACTGTGCTTCTTTTATTTATTAAACAACAAAATCATGCACGAATCACTTCCATCTGTGAAAGTGAAATTGGAATGTATCACGTGTCGCTCATGCGGGTTCACTACCACAACACAACCAAATTAAATGGCTGTGGTTAAAATCTCTACAGTGTAAACTTCGCGGGGGGGGGGGGGGGGGGGGATGAAGGGGCTTTAATTAAATACCCTCTATTATTGTATATGTATTACAAGTAGGCCAACGGTCGTTTTTCTTGATCCAAAAATGGTTCAACTTTTTGTGTAATTCATTGTGTAATGTTAGACAGCCTTTATGTAACTAGGTAGGTATATATCTGTTTGGCCCTGGTCATTGAATATTAATTTTTTATTCAATGCCCTGGTGTAATCTATTCTTGATAGCATCTCGTTTGCTCTGACTTTCAGCGGTCTAGTATGGATCTGATTCCAGTTTTACTTTTGATACATGATTTCTTCATCTACCATTAGGGAATTTAGTACATGGTTATATAGATAGTTACCTTTTACTTTTAGGAGCTTGGTTGGCAAGTTTTTCAATTGGCAGAAGAGTTTTTCGTCACTCCGAACCATAAATATATCACTTCCATATTTTATTCTAGCCATAGGGTTGCAACAGTTATACTTCTTATACTTTCAAAATCTGCACCCCGTGTATAATGTGCTATGGTTCTTATTACTTGGAGATGATTTCTTAGACTTTTTGCAGATTTCATGAACATGGGTCCTTACCCAAGTAACACAAGGCGTACTTGATGGCTTTTTAAACTAAAATGTAGTTGTGAAAACGTTTTGATGACATTTGTTTCGCTGTATTCTGGCATGCTGAATTGCGGCACTCGGTTTTCGCCGTAAAGTAGCACGGGCATGCCCTCTTTAGCTGGTTAAACTAAAACTTGGTTATGAAAACGTTTAGATAGCAGCCAATAAATAGCTGAAATGTGGAATCATTTTTTCGTTGTGAGAAGGTGTTTACAACCACATAAACAGACAATTTGGCTTAGAGACACTATATAGCTATTTGTAGCTCATAAACAGTCATAACCACTTAAAAGCTATTTGGTTATGAAGCTATATTTTGCTGTGTCCTAGAAATCACAGCCACCTTAAATACTATTATGCAGTTAAATGGCATTGAAATCCATTTTACTTTTCACATGTACTAATACAGCAGTTTTGGCTGCAAAACATTTTCCAACACCTAACCTTTAAATCTTTAATAATGAACAAATTGAAATTATCAACCTCCGATATAAAAAAGTTAAAAAAGTTCAAGATGAGTGGTACATACCATAGACAGATCCAAAAATCAGTGAAATCAAAATTAGCTACTTATAAAACGAAAAAGTATGAAATAACTACTGTAGATGATACGGCTGAGTACACTTCGACAACCAAAAAAGCGACTGAAACTATGGACAATTTAGATAAAAGCCATTTCATTAGTGAGGTAAGTCTGTTTTTATACTACCTTGTCAAGACTTTGGACAATGATTATGTTAATATTTTAATTGATATCTACTAATTGTAGATAGTATAATTGTGCATATTTGTTCTAGGCTTTGTCGTCTCAACAGTTAGTCAAGGATCTACCAAACCTGTTACAGAATAATTTAGATAACGATGAAGAAATTGAAGAGCATTATCTATTTAGTGAAGACAGTGATACTGATGAATATGATGGTAGTAATATCTCCAATGAAACATTAAACGAAAAGTTAAGAAATTGGGCTATTTCATTTAATATATCACACAGTGCTGTAACAGCATTATTAGGCATCTTGAAGCTACCTAATTTACCAAAATCTTCTCGAACTTTGTTGAGAACACCTAGAGATGTAACAATTAAAAAAATGGGAAGTGGTAATTATTGGCACAATGGATTAGAAAATTGTCTTCTACATTATTTACGAACTAGTGATAATTATTTAAGTAATTTGGAACTAAGCTTTAATGTGGATGGCTTACCCATTTATAATAGCTCAAAAATGGAGTTTTGGCCTATTTTATGTTCAATATCAAATTTGCAACCCATGGTTGTAGGCATATACTGTGGTACAACAAAACCACCAAGTGTCAAGGAGTTTATGACACCTTTTGTTGATGAACTAAAACATCTTTTAAAAAATGGCATTTCTGTGAGCAAACAGCATTGGACTATCAGCATTAGATGTTTTATTTGTGACACACCAGCTAGAGCGTTTGTGAAAGGTGGGTACAATAATTACACTTATATAAAGTAATTTTAATATTCCGAGTAGGTGTTGTTAATTTCAACGCATACAGTGGTTGTACAAGATGTACTGTAGTTGGGGAATATAGTCACGAATCCCATCGGATGAGTTTTCCTAGAACCGACTTGCCTAGAAGAACCAATAACAGCTTTCGGGAAAGAACTGATCCTGACCACCATAAAGAAGATAGTACACCTCTAGAAGATTTACCAATTGACATGATAAAAGACTTTCCTGTTGGAGATTCGTTGCACCTACTTCATTTGGGTATTATGAAAAGGTGTCTGATTGGATGGAGAGAGGGGAAATTTAAAAAACATTCAAAATGGTCTGTGCATGATACTGATTTAATTACAAATTTTCTTCATCGCTGTAAAATGCCCAAGGAAATTCACAGAGCAGTGAGAGGCCTCGATACTCTTGCATTTTGGAAAGGGGTAGAATTTAGAACTTTTTTATTATATATTGCACCCGTTATTTTAAAAGATTTTTTGCCAGTAGATGTTTATCAACACTTCTTAATGCTTTTTGTTGCAATAACAATTTGTTCAAGTAGTAGATATTCAAAATATCTCAAAGTAGCTGAATCATTATTAGAAAAATATATAGACAAATACATAGATATATATGGACTTGATTCGATTACTAGTAACGTGCACAGTTTATGTCACCTAGTAGACGATGTGGAAAGATTTGGTGAACTAGAAACCTTTAGCGCATATCAATATGAAAACAAGCTTTATAAAATTAAGCGTTTGCTACGAACCGGAAACAACCCACTGGCTCAAGCAGCTAAACGAATTCAAGAAATAGAAATTTCCCAAAATTGTGATAAACATAAAACTCCTAATCCATTTCCAATTGTTAAGAAACAAATTAAATCAAATCTGGACGAATTGAAACATCGTCTACCACATTGTAATGAATTTTTTGCACATATAGAAGTAAATGACAGTTTAATGTTTAATTATGAAGAGAAAAATAGGTGGTTTTTAACAAAAAATCAAATTGTCAAAATGAAATGTGCTACTAAAGTAGACAATAACTGGTGTTTGTATGGTAGCCCTTTAAGGAAAACTGAGGATTTTTTTGAAACCCCTATTAAGTCAAGTCGATTGAACATTTTTATGTCGACATGTGAAGAAGAACCTGCAGTACTGTTTCCATTAGCAGACATAGAATGTAAATTAGTGGCAATTCAGTGTCATGATACAAAGGTTTTTATTCCACTAATTCACTCACTTATATAAAAAAACATGAATAAACAAAAATTTGTTACTTTAAACTTATTGCTAATTATGTTATAGTTGTCTAAATACCAAGATCATTGTTGTATATGATAATGGGCGCATTTAAAATCGTGTCATCATTGACTATAGCGTTTACATCTATTTCTATATTATCCATAGGTTTGGTAGGATGTACGTTTTTATTGTTATTTGCTCTAGTGGCACTGTTCTTTAGCACTCTTTTAAAAAAACTTTCATTTTCTTCCATGGTGTACCTGGAAATTAGATTTTAAATAAAAAAAATGCACATAAGAATAAATACCTTGAATCGGCCATTTTTATGACTTTAAAAAACATTTGTAATGTTTCCTTATATTGCAACATCGAAATCTTTTTTTTACCTTTGGTTTTTGTGGAACCGGTCCACGAGATTTCCATTAAGAATTTTCTTTCAAATATGGCATCTAGTACCATATACACTATTTTATTGAAATTTTTTTTACCATCAGTACCACCAATGTCAGACAATTTCTTAATCTATGAAAAAGATTATCAACTTCATAAATTTGTAAATATATTGACTTACTAATAACATCTGAAAGTCTTTATCTTGAAGTCTCTGTTCCACTTCGTTTAATTTGACAGTATCATCAATGGGAAACAATCCTAAATCATTTAGTGTGTCATCAGCACTTTCTATGAGTGGTTCACGATTGCTGCTCGCAGTATTTGCAGCCATTAAATCCAATAGTTTATCAAATTTAATATGAAGTCCTGCTACAGACTTGAGCAGTTCTTCTTGTTTTTTTTCTAAATACTTCAGTTTTTCTTCTATTGCTAATAAAAAACCGAGTAAAAAACCTAATAAAAATTTTGTTTCTTTAATTTGTACCTAAAGAATGTAATACAGGATTTTCGACCTCAAGTTCCAATGCTTTATCCTCGGCTTTATCACCAGGTAGAGATTGCACATTATTAATATCTTGAACAGAGTTAATTACTGTCAATTCCATGTTTGGAGTATTGTGGGTGTTGTTATTCATCAGTTCAGGTTCCGGGTCAGGGTCGGCTTCAGTCATTAAATGATTAAAATCATCTACTGCGATGGTTTTCATTACTGGATGTAATCTATTAATTGTCTTGCATAATCTGTAACTGAAACACATCTATTATAAGTATAAAATAATTGCTGTACATTATTAATGATGAGTTTGCAACATTAATTCGTATTTTCAAGAATGTGTATAATTTGTACATACTTTTCCTCATCCTCAGTGTCCTCAAATTCTGCTAGTATTTTCTCCTGATGTAATGCTTCTTTTAACGTCAGAATGTTATCCCGTTTGATTTGACATTTTGTCTTGGTCCATGTATTGAGATTCGGTAAGTTACTCGCATCCTTGCGAAGCGTATACGCTTTCTTACCAGGTCCAGGTGGCCAAAACAAGATCCCATTTTTTTCCCAACTTTGAGGCACCGCAGTTAACACTTTTAAATTGTCTTCAATGGTTTGTACAATTTTGAACATTATAAAGTGATGTAACCTCAAAATATGTATTGTAGTAAATTGAATAAATAAATACAATAGTTACCTTTGAAATAAAATATACCTAAGAGCACGATACACAAATACCCTACGAGTTAAAGAAACAAACAATGGTTAAAGTTCGCAAAAAAATCCGCACGGCGCACACAGATTATTTAGATATGGAATTGACAATTTACACACCTACAATTTATATAAGCCATGTGATGAACGCACTTAATACAAAAAAACCAACTCGTTTAGCATGTTACAGATTGGTCGAGTGGTTTCGTTCGGTGGATCTATAGGGTTTCTACAGTAAGTAATGGTAAACGTCCGGTTGAGCGGTTGTGGTTCGAATCCCGTCGAAGGTAATGTAAAATAAAATACGTAAGTATGGTATGAAGCACAATATACGGAACGGGAACGCAAGAAAGTTTAGTAAACTCCTCAAGTGTACTTCCTAAAAGTAACAGTAATAACGCGACCATTAAATTAAAATTGTTGATTTTTCATTACATTTTTTATTTTATTTTCATTTTTTTATTTTATCCCGCAGCAGCCAATTAGCTTCTGTGGCGTTTTGGCAGAGTATGAAAAGGCGATACGACAGCTTCTGCGATTTCGTCACAACAAGGTTATCACAGCTTCAAATATTCGTCATAAACGACAAAGCCAAATAGCTTTTATGGCGTTTTAGAAGCTGTAATTCGTCTCTCCATTCGGGCATAGAAAACGATTTCATATCGCTGATATATAGTTTAGACAGTCTCTGTCATAGACAATTTGGTCACGCTACCCAGCTGTCATGACCTTCTCATTATCAAAATACAGCAGCTTGTGTTACTTGGGNTCAAAAGTTATAGACTAGAAACCAATTTCGAAAGAAAATTCAAAGGGCTGTAACTTTTGAACTAGTAGGGCAATCTTGGAACTGTTTGAAATTATGGATTCTACAGGCCACATTCTATAAGAAAATTTTTTTTCCGGGTCGATCTGAGACAATCTTTTTTGAGGGGCTCAAAAAAAGGCAGTGTACAACCTTCCTTTTTTACCAAAAATCGACTGCACCAAAATTTCTCGGGAAAACACTTTTCTTATTAATTTTGGAATGTAGAATCCAAAACAATTCGTACTTTTTCGATCAGACTTCTCAATCAAAAGTTATAGACTAGAAAAATACCAATTTCAAAAGAAAATTCAAAGGGCTGTAACTTTTGAACTAGTAGCCCAATCTGGGAACTGTTTGAAATTATGGATTCTACAGGCCACATTCTATAAGACAATTTTTTGCATTAATTATGATCGAGAAACACAATCGTGGCAACATATTTCTGGTTTACAATGTACAATGAAATATCAAAGTACCTTTAATTTGCCATTGGCCATCAAACCACATGGAAGAGCAGTGCCTTCATCCTTTTTCCACCCGTTGTTTCACTTGCAGGGGGGGACCGGCACGGGGGGGCGGGTGGCGATTGCCACCTAGCCTGTAGATCATAATGGCCCGTTGGAAATTTATAAGTATGTGCTGTATTTAGTTTCTTGGACTATTAATAAATTATTAACACGTTTCTCTAATTGGGGTTGATGTTAGATTGTTAAAAAATTCGGTTTTAATTGAAGTGTTTTACAATGAATTTATCATTTTTTGTCGTAGCATGAAAGTGCTGAAATACAATGATAGGCGACGCACCTCGTGTGGATTGTATATTTTGTTACTTTTAATTATCAGCTGCAATTTAAAAAAAAACTGTATGGTAATTGATTTTCGAGAAAGGAGTACTTTAACATGGTTTTGTGGTGCACCTCAGAGCTAACCCCCCCCCACGCCACCTTCATTACTACACTAATACTTTAATGGCCCGTAAGTACCCAGTCCGCCCCTGTGTATAGCCTTCCTTTTTTACCAAAATTCAACTACACCAAAATTTCTCGGGAAAACACTTTTCTTATTAATTTGGGTTGGGTGCGTAGAATCCAAAACAATTCGTACTTTTTCGATTAGACTTCTCAGTCAAAAGTTATAGACTAGAAACCAATTTGGAAAGAAAATTCAAAGGGCTGTAACTTTTGAAATAGTAGCCCAATCTTGGAACTGTTTGAAATTATGGATTCTACAGGCCACATTCTATAAGAAAATTTTTTTTTCGGGTCGATCTGAGAATTTTTTTTCGGGGCCAAAAAAAGGCAGTGTATAACCTTCCTTTTTTACCAAAAATCGACTGCACCAAAATTTCTCGGGAAAACACTTTTTCTTATTAATTTTGGAACGTAGAATCCAAAACAATTCGTACTTTTTCGATCAGACTTCTCAATCAATTAAAGTTATAGACTAGAAAAGATACCAATTTCGAAAGAAAATTCAAAGGGCTGTAACTTTTGAACTAGTAGCCCAATCTGGGAACTGTTTGAAATTATGGATTCTACAGGCCACATTCTATAAGACAATTTTTTTTCCGGGTCGATATGAGACAATTTTTCTTGAGGGGCTCAAAAAAAAGGCAGTGTACAACCTTCCTTTTTTACCAAAAATCGACTGCACTAAAATTTCTCGGGAAAACAGTTTTTCTTATTAATGTTGGTGCGTAGAATCCAAAACAATTCGTACTTTTTCGATCAGACTTCTCAATCAAAACTTATAGGTAGATTAGAAACCAATTTCGAAAGAAAATTCAAAGGGCTGTAACTTTTGAACTAGTAGCCCAATCTTGGAACTGATTGAAATTATGGATTCTACAGGCCACATTCTATAAGACAATTTTTTTTCCGGGTCGATCTGAGACAATTTGTCTTGAGGGGCTCAAAAAAAGGCAGTGTACAACCTTCCTTTTTTACAAAAAATCGACTGCACCAAAATTTCTCGGGAAAACACTTTTTGTTATTAATTTTGGAGCGTAGAATCCAAAACAATTCGTACTTTTTCGATCAGACTTCTCAATCAAAAGTTATAGACTGGAAAAGAAACCAATTTCGAAAGGAAATTCAAAGGGCTGTAACTTTTGAACTAGTAGCTCAATCTTGGAACTGTTTGAAATTATGGATTCTACAGGCTACATTCTATAAGAAAATTTCTTTTCCGGGTCGATCTGAGACAATTTTTTGCGGGCCTCAAAAACAGGCAGTGTACAACCTTCCTTTTTCACCAAAAATCAACTACACCAAAATTTCTCGAGAACACACTTTTTCTTATTAATTTTGGTGCGTAGAATCCAAAACAATTCGTACTTTTTCGATCAGACTTCTCAATCAAAAGCTATAGACCAGAAACCAATTTCGAAAGAAAATTCAAAGGGCTGTAACTTTTGAAATAGTAGCCCAATCTTGGAACTGTTTGAAATTATGGATTCTACACGCCACATTCTATAAGAAAATTTTTTGCATTAATTATGATTGAGAAACAAACACAATCGTGGCAACATATTTCTGGTTTACAATGTACATACAATGAAATATCAAAGTACCTTTAATTTGCCATTGGCCATCAAACCAGCGGACTATATCCTTATTGTCTTAATCTGGAAACGCAGTAGCCTAAATTCCTTTTTGTGACTATCAACTGCGGCATTTCTATTGATTGCAATTTCGTTTCATAATTTCATTTTTCGGTTTTCTGACGAGAAGTTTCATCAGATCTTCAGATTCATAGTTATATTCCTCTATTTCCGTAAAACTAATCGTTCAACCAATCAATCATTTAATAGCTACAAGAAACCTACTATCTATGTACTGCATGTTGTAGACATTGCAAGATTCTTGTAAGGAATAAAACAGTAGGTCAGTAAATATGTCTATGATATAATTGAAAAAGAGGAAGATTTGAACTGTACTACATCCATGCGTATGCTGATCACCGCGTTCCAAGATACACTGTTTCCACAAGAAAGTCTGATGTGAGGGTACCTTATATGTACCTACCTAGTGACAATTGGCGACGAGATATAATCTAATTATAAAAGGTCGTTGTAAACAGTAAGTAAACCAGTGACTCTTTTGTCACGTCGTCAAAGACTTGATATGACTTTTAGACGCATTTCTTTTTAGAAACACTTCATTGTCACTTATCTAGTCTTATAAAACATCATGTTATCATGTTAATAGAAGTATATGTATGTCCGTCCGTCGTTCGTTTAAAGTTTGATGAACTAATACCTAGGCAGATATGAATTATATGATTCAGGGTATTTGCTACTGAATTAAAATATTTGCCATCAGCTCTTGGATTTCGAAATTTGCGTTTTTTGTGAAGTTTGTTAGTAGTTGGGTTTGTTGTAAACGTACGCAACGCAACATATCCGATATAATACATACCTATGTAGATAAGATTATTGCTATCTATTGATTAGTTCTTTTTTGACACAAAAAAGTATTCTTTTACAGATCGTGTAAAGCATAGATTCAAGAATGCTTCAAATTCAATTACAAAGTGCACCGGAAAATTCGTATATTATAGAAAACCATATTACAGGTGAGTTCATTTTCACACCTCTATCATCTTCTGGTTTCAATTGTGCTGATTAGTCATTTTGATGGATCTGATTGCTTTCTTATCTTTTTGAAAATGTTTAGGAATAACTACAATTTTTAGACATAGATTTACCCGTCTATAACGACAGAGATGGTGCAGCAATTTCAATTCAGCCGCAGAATACTGGTATGAACAAACCGCAATGAATTGCACAAACATATAAGTAATCCGTAGATCACAATAATGCCGTCCCCAGAAGACCTATACCAGTTTCAACTGTAGATTGGCAAACAACAAACATTTCGCAATTTATACCATTGCACGGTTTGGATTTTTTGAGAGGCGCGGAACAGCTTTACATTCAACAAACAATTGAGCTTACTGATTGCAAGTTTTTATGCGTGTTTTTCCATTGTCATATTGCAACCATTTGATTCTTTTAGTATTGGCACATTTAGAATCTGAAAGTCGATACACAGTAAAAGTGCCTCATGGTGAAACGTTATACTATGCCGCTGAACAATCCTCGTCGTTTCAACGGTTGTGTTTCGGAACATCTAGATCGTTTGTTATGAAGTTGTATGACCAAACTCAACAAGAAGCTTTACAATTTCGAAGAAGAAGCTCATGTATTTTCTGCTACGCACAAGTTAGCGATAAGATTTACTTAATCCTTGTATCATAGTACCTATATCACTCTCTTGCAGAGTTTAGAAGTTTGGCTGTCTCCGGGAGATTTTGTGGGGGTTGTAAAACAGCAGTTGAAGTTGTCTGTACCGACATTCAATATTTATAATAGAGATAATGACATTGTATATCGCATTGAAGGTCCTCATACGTTTGCATGTACTTCGTTAGGAAAAGATGCTCATTTCAAGGTAATTTGTCCATTCAACCGTAGATTTGTGTAAAATTTTTAGGTATTGAATTTGAAAAACGAGTTTAATTTTTTAAGATATTCACTGCTGATGGAATGACTCAAGTAGGAAGCGTAAATCATCAATGGGATCAGTTACAAGTTGCATACAATTTATGTGTCCAGTTTCCCAGCCGCACCACTGACACAAAGCATAAGGCTCTTTTACTAGGAGCAGCATTTTTATTGGCAAGTTACATATCGTGTCTACTGATTGATAATGTTCATTTTGTAGGAATATATGTATTACCAAGGCTCAAAACTATTAAGGTGTAGATGCTAACAATGGAGTAGGTATCTTCTTTTATTGCAATATACCTGGCTCGCTTGTATTCAATATGCGATAAATGGCTACGAAACGATATTGTTTTACTTACCTGCATGTGACTTTATACTTCTTATGATGTAGATGCTTTTGAACATATTGATTAGGTACAATATTTAAATTAGTTTTGTGACTTGAACCGATTCTTTACCTACATATAGCATATTGAATTAAATATATCTCTTTAAATCTCTATTCTTGAAACACCAATTGGCGGCTAATGTAATAATCAGACGTTATATCATTGAACAAAAGAAATACTAATTCTGGTTCGAACATTACACATTCCGCCTTTAGGGAGACGGAATGGTAACATGACTAGTCAAACATGAGTCTTGAAGTACCTACACACACAAAAAGGGACGGCAAATTTTTGAGAAATCTAGAGAGAGTTGTTCAAACGAATTTTTTAAGCAGCGTATAAGCGTATATCCATAACCATATCAAAAATGTTTCAACGAAGTTTTTTACATTGAACTTACTTTGTTATTACATGCGAAACGTTGATACTTACTCCTTTCCTATTGAAGAAAGTTAAAAGATAAAAAAATTAAAGTTTTATTATTAAACAATAAAAAATTACTTTACAAAATTTTAATAGGTCATGATATTTAAAATTGAGTCTTTCTTTTGTCTGTTTGAATAACAAAAATTATTCGCTATCACTGTAGACACTAGCCTTAATATTACGTTCCAATTGTCTTATATTTTTGATCATACCTAATTGAGTTAATTCATTCATTAAATTATTGCGCAAGCGTCGTTCTCTGATAATATACAGTATTACTCCTATCACAAATAAGCCAAACATAATCCAAAGGAAAATATAAACTTTAAAATACAATTTGTCTAGTTGAGTATTTGTTACTACATAATTAGGGTAACAATAATGTTCTAAACTAGAAACTTGCATCAATATTGCATCTGGATAGCATAATGTGCACTGGTAATCGTTTGACCCGGAACACCTCTTGCAACTGTAGTGGCACGACAAACAAACATTCATTTTCTTATCCATATTTTTTTTCGCGCCCAACTCATCTAGGAAACTTGCATAAAATTTTTCAGGACACTCTGAATAACATCTACCATTATGCATAAAATAATTAACCTGGCATTCTGAAAATAAACAGCATTTAATAGTTGGAACAAGACTACAAAAAATAAATTGTGACTGAAACAGTAGCATGCAATTTAGAAGTGTAAACACTTACCTGAGGCATTTCTGGTACAGTATTTCACAATTACGACTACTACATCACTCAAATTTCAAAATGAAACAAATGTTGACAAAATTTCAGCCACAATTTATTTTTTGAATATAATTACAAACACTTGCTTTTACATAGGTCAACAATCTTTTTAAATTCAGTAAACCTGCCTGTTGAGATACAGAAATTATGATTTGGAAATGAAATTAAGTACTTTGTCGAATAAAAAATATATACCTCAACAGAGAAGGATTAGTGCGCTAGGCCATTATCATGACTAACAATCACTGTTAAAATTACCTAATCCTACTGAATTGCCGTACACACATACTATACATTTTTCCATGAGCTAAAACACTGAGTAGTACTAGATTGAACACATATTATATAAATGAGGAAGGTGCAAAGAACTAAATACAGATCTATAGCAATATTAATAAAGTCATTGCAAACTCTCCTCATTATGCAACATTAAAATCTACTTACTTAAACATAAATAAAAGAATCTTTGGTATATTTTGTAATATAAATAAGTTAAAAATTATTGGAAGGCAAAGAAATAGGAACCGCTGTGGTTTTATGTTGTAAATTCGCATATGTACTAAATTTACTAAGTTCTCTATATTTATACAACTAAAAGTAAATCACAGCAAATTCCTCAAATCAATTCTTACAAACATGCACAAACACCGTTCATAAATTTCTAAAGTAACAGAGTATGCAGAGGTTTTGCGGATGATTGATTAACTGGAAATTAGACATAGTTTGTATTTATTAAAAAAAGAAATTTCAAAGTTAATCACAGTGGCCAAGGTATCTATCAAATTGATGGTTAAATCCCTACCCTGAAACTTTTGTTGGATTCTGATTCTAGAAACAGTACTAATAAAACAACATGGTAGAGAAACCATACAAATAGTTGCTCTCAAAGTTTTTGCAGAGCATAATGATATGTTTGTTATAAGGGAAAGACAGACCAAACAATATCAAAAAGATTTCTGGTGGACAAGGAAATACTGATTTAGCACAAGTCATTATTTGCAATAGAAATCCCAAGCAGTCACAGCCCTAGACAATCAATTAAAAACGAACTGTGGTCAAAATTGATATGATTCGTTCAATTTATACAAAAGACCTACATTTGGCAATTCTGGAGGATAATTAAAAAAATGATTAACTTAACAGCATAGAAATATATGAATGGTTATTGCACATATTATTACTAAGATACGGATTTTCTAAGATGAGTGATGTTATCCACATTTTTCAAGATGCATTGGTACCTTTAAATATTAATTAATTGCACTTATATAATCTTAATAATGTTCAGTCATCAATGCACAGAAACGATCATACATTATTTCTAATTACTACATTTATTAGGTAGATAGGTTATAAATTTGGCACATGTAATATCTTTAAAGGGAAGATCTGTCTTATATTGTTTTTGCGCTAATGAAAGATTTCAATCTTAATACTTGTCAATTTACAAAACATAATTGTAAATAATTTTTCATTGACACACTAACTCGGGAACTGACTAGATTAAGCTAAATGTGTACCTACATCAGACAAACCAATAGGCAGCACAGATTGAAATTATCGAGGTGACTAGCATAAACCACCTGCAAATGGTTTATTACAAAACTTCAAAAAAAAAATTATAAACGCGACACTAAACAAAGCAATGGATACAACAAAAAAACCTATTTTTGTAACGCACACAGCCTCTATAAGAGTGCAAACCATGTAATTAAAATATTAGCACCATTAAATCATAGCAAATTAAAAAAATTAACCCGTAATAGCACTGTAATAGTACAGAGTATTCCGCCATGACCATCTATTAATATTTTAAAATGACACCTAAACAACTTTTTTTTTAATTAATCAGTGACAACTAACTCTCTACTAATTATTTCTTTAGTCTGCATCCATGGTCACATCGCAGTGGCATATTTCCTTGAAATCACATATTATGTACAGTGCATTTACTACCGCAAAATAACATGAGAGATAGATCATGGTAAAATACACTGCACGTAGATACTTTTAATATAACAATACAGCTATAGATATTTGCCAATAAGAATAATGAGTATTTACATAGGGCCGCTTTACCAATTGGTAGATGTGGTTAATGATAAGAACAAGTGGCAAACATTTTAGCAAACATATCATGTAATAGTTTAATCGATCTACAGGTTTTTGGATTTCTCCTATTGCGATTAAAATCTATGGCCATATCACATATATAGTCTATCGAACTGAATACTACAGTTTTTAAAAAATTAAATTTAATTATATTTACTAAAAATTGAGATATATATCTTTTTAATTTGTTACAAAATATTTTTTCTAATTGCTTGCTGTTACGTGTTGAACAATAAACGTTCTTAAATGACCTATTTATTGGAACATCTATGCAAATTTCTTTGCACCGAGTTAGTTCCAAAGTTGTGTTTGTAAAATATATTTCATCGTAATTTTGAAATCTGCGATTCTCCAAAAATGAAGATTTCAAGTACGTTACCAGATCAAGCACGTTTTTGCTTTTACTGTATAGATTAATATCAGTACACGTTTGTAGTATGAACCTCCAAGTTATGTTTACGAGGGACATGAAAATGTGATGAAAATACGTACAGCATAACATAAGTGTAGCAAACAAACCTAAACAAAATTGTCCATTGGATTTTGCGCAATTTTGAGCAGCATTGGCAGGTAAGAATTCTTCTAATACTGATGTATCTTTTCTGATCTGAAAGCGTATAAAGCCCCGGTGTTAAATATAAAACAACAGTGTCCTTTAACGTTTGAAATTGTAAGTCTTACCTCAGCATCACTTTTCCATGATTCGTTTGGTGGATTCAAATCCAAGGAGTTGTGGTCCATTTCATTTACTTCTATGTTTGTTTTACCCGGTTTGTTGTTAACCTTTTCGTCTTCATCAATTTTTGGGGGAGATGATGTTCCGTACAATATCAAATCCCATGTTTCTATTTCAGCTAAAATAAGTTTTCAGGTACAAATTTATATTCATACAAACGTACCACCTATGTATACTAATACGAAAAATTGGAATCAAAGTTGCGGTAGCATGATTCAAATTCTCTTCGCGATTTGGAAAACATGCAAAATTTTAAAAAGCAATAGCATGCACTAAGACACAATTAATATTGCTGAGTTACCCAATGCTTTGTCCTTGGAAGTGATTACATCAATTAAAGTAGTTGCTTCAGGAGGTCTAGACGTAAACGTTTTAGTATTGCGATTGGAATTAAGATCGCGACTCTTTTCTTTTTGCTTTTGCGCCTTTTTAAATGGATCGCGAGACTTTATGCCTTCGCGTGCAGGGATCATGATGGGATATGTGATGCTGATATTTTTAATAAACTTCCAATAGGGCTTTCCACCTTCGCCTACGCTTTGAAACTTTGTGTTGTTCACAGAATAGAAGTAAGGAGATGTGGTTGTTAATAAAGAAATATTTGAAAATTGCTTTTTTTTGTTGAACTGCACGTTCATATTTGTAGTATCCAAGTCTTTTGTAGTGGAGGTGAAAGTTTTGTTTTTTCCTCGATTTAGGTTTTTGAACGGTTTGGGAGACGGATTGATTAATTTTAAAATGTTTTTCGAATTTTTTGGTTTTTTTGCGGGTTTCTTTTTATTGGCGTTTTTATTTTTTACCGGTTTGTCTGAATCTGTATTATCAGAAGCAGAAAAAAATATTTTAGTTCCATAAAGAATAAGTGACCAATTTTGGAGCGTAGCTCGCCCTGTAAAGCGAATAGTGGGTTAGTAAAGCAAAATGGAATAGTATAATGTTAATTTTAAAGTGTCAATTTTTCATTGTGAGCGCTTACCTAACATTCGTCCATCATTATGAATTTCCAATTGCCACGTCCCAAATGGCGTTTCCCCCCATGAATGGACAGACATAAAAGGCCAATGATTAAATCCTGATCGAGCAATGTCGTGTCCTCTGTAATCAACTTGTAGAAATAGAAGCTAATTTGAAAATCTTTGTACCTATGAGCAAGAAGGGTTACTCTGGTACCCATTGGGGACGTTAACTGGATATGTAAATCACCGCGCCTTTGTGAGAAAATTGTAAGTTTCGCCTGAACATGTTCTAAAATTTGAACACCTTCACATTCTGTTACTTGCAACTGTAAAACAACAACACTCTTAGCTGGGATCGACCTATAATCACTTGTTAATGTAAGCGCAACCGCGAAGTATAACTGACTTTTGCACATGAGGCGCAGTAATTTCGCATTTATGTTGTTCAGGAACCGTCACCCATTTCCTTGCCAATTGGACCATCGCGTACGCATCCATAAGTCCGTATCCAAAACTGTGCGAGACGTTCCTTCCCACCCCATTAATTTGCCAATCTGAGGTAACCAAATGATGAGGTCTAGCAGTTCTGACAACGATGTGTTGCATATCTCGCCATGTAAGATTCGGATTTGCTTCAAGCGCTAGTGCACAAATACCTGCAGCTAATGGCGCAGAAGCACTGGTACCAGTGTGACTGCTTGTGCAGGAGTGATGAAGATCAGTGGTAACAACCTGCCTTTCTCCAACAGCGCCACTGCTATACGTAGATGCCAAAGTAGAACTGCATGCTTCACTGTACCATGGCACATGACCTTGCTCTGTGGCACTAGAAATTGATAAGCTATAGATGGAGTTTGTATAGCCATCGCAGTTGCAATTATCATGATCCCTTCCGCCATTTCCCGAAGCCCACACAAATATAGACCCTTTGCCGTTACGACCCTAAAACTGTAACATTAAATCGCGCAAAAATCACCGCATCATACTTTTGTAACTCCTTCAATAAATGCACGAGTAGCCAATTCCCCTGGGCCATCCACAGTTTTACCATCATCATCTGGTCCCCACGAGGCACTATAAATATCAATGTGTTGTGGATTTAAACTTAATGACCGTGCCTCAACCGCATCAGTAACATCTCCATCAAGCATGCGTACGCCGCCTACTTGAGCACCATGTGCAACACCTAGCGCGCATACAGAGTTATTACTTGTTGCTGCTACTTCGCCTGCGCACCTAGTACCATGACGGTTGGAATCAATCATGTCATAGCGAGGACTAGGATCCGAGTCATGATTGTTCACATCGTAAGATGCCATTGGATCCTATATGAAAAAAGTACCGTACAAAATATTCTGTTACAGATTAACCCACAAAGTTAAGATACTAACATAGTTTTTCACCAAATCAGGATGGTCTTTTTCCAATCCATCGTCCAATATCGTCACAACTGCACCTTTACCTGTAACACCCTCTAACCAAGCGGGAATAACATTCATGTCTAAACCGTTACCGCGATTCTAAAATTTAATAGCGTAGGTACACTTGCGGTGATACGTGAAGAGTTTACTTACCAAATACCACATACTAGGCCACCGTGGATCTGAATCTTGAAGTCTTAAATCTCTTTTAACTCTTTTTTTCACTATTTGTTGCTGAGCCCACTTTACCCTGATGTCAGCTGCTAACTGAATTTTCTTTTCTAAATGTGGAGTTGATCTTTTGGTAATACCCGGATGCGTAAAATGGTAGTGATCGTCGAAAATCTGCAAAAGAAAATTATTTTCAGTAAAGGATTTTTGCAAAAAAAATTAGGTACCTATGTGTTAATCAAACCCTCGCTTCAAAATTCATTTCCCTAAAGTGAATAACTGTCTATGTCTAAAATGTGTAACAGGAGTTCATTTGCATTGAAGAGCAGCATTTTTTGTTGAATATGTACATCGTTTTCCCTTTCCCTTGGGGGAAAGTTAAAAACATAATCCGAAAATTTAAATTCTATATCCCTGTATAAAGTAAGATAAATGAGTATGAATGAACATGCCCTTCGAATGGAGTTCACGATGGTAGACTTTAGCTTATTTTCCCGTTGATTTGTAAATAAAATGTGCAAACTATAAGATCACATGTGTTGTTCATTATTTAGCACTTTCATTGGACTTGTGTGCTTTTTCGTATGTGACAATTTAATGCACAATTCTTAATTCCATTCATAAACATTATGTAGCTGTAGGTATACTTGACTTAGCTTTACGTATATAATTAAAAAAGCCTTGCAGTAGGACTTTCATCACAAAATTAATGAATATAAAACTTTTTATGCATCAAGATTAAACGTAAGATAAAAGTTTTAAAAAATGGTTTGTAAGAACTTAATTGGAATACGGATTTAAACCCTATTGCTCATTTTTTCATTACAATTAATGGCATCAGATTAAAGAGTAAAGAAATTGCGGGTGCAGGATATATAAACGAATTTGAAATGCAAACCTAAGCCTTTAAATTTAAATCAGCCTGGATCAGAAAGATATAACGAAATGAAGCTGTGGCGAAACGTTAAGGCTTGTTGAACTTGTAACTCTTCGTCCCTTTTACATTGGATAGAAATTTGGCAATTAAATCGGTTTGAAAAAATTACTATTTTGAATGCGTTGTGTTGGAAAATGCCGTTCGCGATTAAACGAGGTACAAAGTCAACTGCACCATTGCATTTCTCAATCGGGTTCAATTTAAATTGTAGGAAACATGAAAACGCTTTCAGGATTCACCTTTTTCAATTACTGCATCTCTGCAGTAGATTATCAAATAGACAAACCTGCTGTAGGTGATAGGTGTAATTTAATGGTACAAAATATAGATTTAGGGAAATTCGAAATCCTATAATAAAAAGCGTGCCAAAAATTAAAAAACAATCACCCTTGAATCCGACAAGTCAATAAAATTAAAAAAATCATTTCGGAAACAAAACATGCGATTGCAATTACTATAATAATGTAATTCAACGCAGACAATTGCTCGCTCTACTTGATGATGTACACATTTATATTACTTTCTATAAATTACTATTGATCACCATTCGTAGGAGCGACAAAAGTTAGGTTCGCCAACTTCATTTACCAAAAGGTTTCACTAAACAGCATTCTTCGGCATTTGCCGTGGAAATGGGTAAACATGCATACTTCTCGTATCTCCCGGTCGGAAAATACTAAGCTTTTGAATATGTTATGGTTGTTCATGTGAATAACTTAGAAAACAGACGCAATTTTTACTTATAATATCTAAATTGCAATATCGTAAATAAATCAAATCTAAAAGAACGTATTATAATCCCAAAATAGAACCATTTGCGAAATTTTCGATTAAAACTCCGTGACACTCAACAACAATTAAATTACAATTGACTTGATTGACAAACCTATCGTCTCGAATTAGTATCAATGTTGATTTCTTTGTACATCAGTTAACCTTTATATTCGCGTTTCTAGTTCAATATAACACAATTTTACTGAACGAAGCAACCAACGCGTAACTTTTTGACTTTCGAGTCGCAATTTATACCTTATTGCGAAATGGCAAACGTATATGAGACTCCTTCCTTTTGTACAACAAAAATCGGAATAAGTGTGGCGGAACATCGTCATGCAAATTATGACAGCATAATGATCATAACACTCAATGCAACTACGCCCTTATATAACTCCAAGAGTTCTTGAATATCCGTAAAGGGTTAAAATTGGATATACATCGCACTTTATAAATCGAATTCATTATTCACATTAAATGAGCTTACTGAAAAGCTTATTCGCAAAAATCCATTGTAAATGTCCATTTGGGCGGCTTCCACCGCTTTTTTGTATGTCATTATTTTTAATAACAACAGGCTAACAACACAATTTTAAATAATTTCTCCCACTCCAAATGAAAAATACCATTTTTACGGTAACAACAATATTTTAATCCGTAAACAAGTACAAGTAGTTTACTTAAACAGTAAGAAAATAATTCCTCAATGCTTCTCATGAAACAAAATAGACACAAATAACACAATAACAGACGTAGAATAGCGTACGTAATTGGCGTTTAACATCTAAGAGAACAAATGGCATTTAGTTGAATGAAGCTTACAGGCACAGAAAGTTAATCTTAGGGGAGAACGATAAGGGGACATTTTTTATTATGACAATTTTAATTGGGCACAAAAAGGAATGGCGTGGTAATATATCTCTATAATATCCACGAGTTTCCTTCCATGCGCACCGCCAAAATTTATCAGCTAGGTAACTTATTTGAAAACAGCTTATGATGTGGTAAACCGTGTAGGAAATAAAGATATCGGTTATTTACTACGGTTAATAAATGATATTTGTTACAAAAACACAGGCAATTCTTTTAGTCACTTGTACTAAATTCAACTGTTATCTCGACATCCGCAAACGTCGGTTTTAAACACTCGGCTGCAGTAAAAAACAATGTGCGGCAGGTTAAATTGTCAGAAAAGTCCGTTTATTTCAAATCGCCACCAAAACTTTAATACAAAACATTTTAAACCCCTAAAACTTATTTATTACTATTATTGAAGAATTAAGTGCATGGAAGGCCAATTTATTGTGAACATATTATAATACAAATTAAAAGATGTTAATCGACATCGTTTTCCATATTGCACCTTTTGTAGCCATCCTAGCACAAACTCCTCGCAAGGTTGAATGGTCAGTATGAAGTAATTGACTGGTACCTTTGCATCCTTTTGTTCCTTCCAGCTTAGCCCATTAATTTTTTGTTCCGTGTTGATAGCTTCGTTATTTTTCCTTGTCTTTTGCTATAAAATCCTCTTGAAGCGTGGCCTGACACCGATACCCTTAAAAATCTTTGCAATTAGTTATACCGTAGCGTAGGTGATGCGTTTACTTTATCGAAATGTTTTCAGAACTTTATCCGTCTGTCCATGGTGACCAACAGACTTGAACTTATAAGGAGTAATATTGTCAGCAGGTGGTAAGGATTTAGGAAGCACGATCACGACCTGGTATTTTCCGGACAAGGTAAGATATGCCTTATTGGTTCTGGGGATGCCTTTTGGTTTTGTTACAAACTTAAAGAGCGCAAGTACCATGAGACAGCCATCCCCAAATAGACCACGCTTTCCGTATTCCGATAAGATAATCGTACGTAATGAAGAGATGAGACAGTAGTTTTCTATTATCATTTCTTTTTTAGAGAAAACTAGGTACCTATCCTTATTTTTAAGTGGAAAAATGGTTATGAAAATAGCACAAAGGGTGTCAATAAAATGAAGGGTGCAATACTTAAAACAATCGAATTCGTGCTGACATGCCTGTTTTCAAATTCGTTTAGTTTTCTTTTTTAAGGCACGTCATCAAAGTAGACCTTTACACATATACCTATACTCCATACATTGTGCGGTGTGCAGGCCACTAAAGCTAAACTGCATTACGGAAAATATGATGAGGTTTTATAAAGGCAAGTTGGGTTTGGTAGAGTGCATTGAATCTGAAATCTGAAATACAAAGCTCGAGATTGGTGTTCTAAATGTAACACAACGGGCTTTGCTAGTTCCTTTAACCGAACACATTGCGACTTGTAATTTTCGATGGTTCTGATTTTGAATATATGAAACAAGCGAAAAAGAAATGCAAGACGAATAGAAGTATTTTGCTATAATATAATCGTATTGTTTGCGTATATTGCACTCTGCAAAATATAAATCGACTAAAGGACTAAAAAGACACGACAGCTAATGAAGAATAACATTTCAATTACATTCGGTTGCTACAGATAAAGGGGTTGGGGATAGATTGAATAAGCGAAAAAGACCTAGGTTGACATTATTGTTTTGTTGAGATAACGAATATTGTGATGTTTCCATCATGAACAAAGTATAACATAAAAACGAAAGAAATTTTTTATATATTTAGATACATGATATACCTACGCAGATCATATATTTTTTATGGAAAGTAGACTGCCTCTTGGGTATCACAAAGATGTTGTGGCAATGTATATTGGGTTGTCAGTTCACTTATAAAGTTACTTCTCATGACAATTTTAAAAAGAAGTTGACAAGCAACATATGTTACTCCTTTGTTAGACGTTTGCGAGTTGTCGCCTTTTACGTTAAACTTTAAAAAAAATCCTGAATGAATGAAAATGCCACGAGTTTCTTTCTCTGCAGATATTGATTCTCAAGTGCAAATCATAGAAACACATAGGACGCTGTTAATGTTCCAGCTTTAAACAAAATTTATGGTTCAATATAGGGTATAACCTGCTTTATATTTACGTAAGAGCTAAACGTTCCGTGATTCTCGTACAACTTTTAAGTGTTTTCAGAAATAAATTTCAGATTTAAACTCTTGCAATGTAAAGGAAATTAGTTTTATTGTAGAAAACAGCAGCTAGAGGCAAAGGAAATGTTTTGAAACGGAAATCAATGGCTACGGCGGTCACCATACAAACACATGTATAAAACGTCAACATCTCTAACCACAAATCATATTTTCTGATAAGTGAACGTTTAGAACAACTTTTAATACATAAATAAAGTGATCTTCAAGTGGGCTTTCGAAAAGTACAGTTACTGACTGAATTATACATTAGTCACACATATAACAGAGTCTCCAATGATGAAAAAACCAATTGTGTTAAGCAAGTACGGTTCGGTAATATGACAATTGGACATTGGACATGTTTTTCCATTTGAAGTGCCGCGATATTCTTGCAGAACGTATTTTAATCTGTTGTTTATCCCCGCTTCTGCTACTGTATGGTCTCGTGACCAGTGAGTGTTGGTACCTCAGGCACACTTTACCACAACCTTTTAGCGGGTATCATATGCAAAAACTATAGGCCCAAACATTTTACGCTATAATGTCACCCGCTCGATCAGAGCGTAGCTGCGTATAGGACATGAGTTCTTGTGAAGAAAACCTACATTTGAATGAATGGTAATCCTTCAGAGAGTACTACCTACTCCCTTAAATCGTCAACATTGCGTTATAGTGAATATTTCACGATGTTACTGCAGCGAACCTCGAGAAGAAATTAGCCACGACTGGCCAAGGGGAGCGGATCTTCTAGCGAAAGCTGATATAGTGTTGGGCGCCAATTTAAACAAGTCACAGCAATTGAATAAATAAAAATACAAACTAAAAGTGAAATAAGAATACGAGCTTTGTAGATCCTCAAGCACTGGTGGGCATAATACTCTTCGCTTGGGAAAGAACGATATACATATACATATGATATGTAATTGCATAAAACAATAAATAAATTGACAATTCGGATCAAGGTTACTAAAAGTACTTAAGGTTATTAAACGCGATTCTTTGGTCAGAATGATCACAAATATTTTAGAAACATAGCGAGGATAAATTGTGCACAATTTTACTCCCACGATTTTTTCAGTATCTTTTCTGATTGTTGTGCGTTTAGTTTTACTCGACAACTTGTACTACTACACAAGGGTGTACTAAGTATATCACAACAAACCACAACTTTTTGACATCTTTTCTTGTCTCCATTTTGTTTCACTAAATCATTTCCGCAGAAGATGTTTTCCATCATATTTCATATTTTCAGCTGCTATATATTAGTTTTGGCCAACAGTTTTGTTATTTTTCATTTTTTATGTGATCTGATATTTCTTGCTTCTTCTATGTCGCTTAAATCATTTTTTGTTCCGTGTCTTCCTCATTAAGACGTCTCGAAAGCATTCTTTCCATGTTATTTTCATTTGTACATATTCTCCTAATAATTTATTTCCCTTTCTTATCCTTTATAGGTTTAGTGTGTCTGATCTATAAGATGTTCTTTTCGTTCAGCTCTTTATAAAATTTCCTTCCGTTTTTATATTAACCCGAAATGTTTAACTTTTCGTTTTGTGTTTTTCGGTGTCTCTGCATTTTTCATACCACCATATGATTCTTTTCATACGCATCACTCGTAAAAATCTTATCTCGTATTTAATACGAGATTCACTTAATTTTTTTGTGAAAAGGAGAAATTCTCTACCCACGCTACTTATTTCTGTTCAAGGATATCACATTTGCTTTTTACTATTTCGGTGGTCATTTCGGTTAGTTTAATGGACATCGACAGTCTCATCTGAAACGTTACCTTTTATCCTGCCTTTTATATCTTTTGTACTGAAAGAGTTACCTATGCGAATAAAATAATAGTCTTGCTATCATATACATCGTATTTCTTTATTTGTAATAAAAAGTTTTAGAAAACTGTCAAGTTGAGATACATTATTCATAAAGCACTAAAGCTGAAACACTCTTCTAAATAGCTTGAAACTGAACAGTTTTATGTAGTAATAGCCTCATTTTTAAACTGGCACCTATGACACCTACAAATACTTAACGCTTTGCAAACTAATAGGACAATTACTTACATCTTCCGTTAATTTTTCTACCGATGAGACAACTTAGCGTACAAATTTCGATTCGTAAGTATCGTTACTATGTTTTAATAAATAGTTTGAGGAGACTTATTTGTGTATCGAAATTACAGTACAGCGTTCTAACAAAAGGATCCACTTTCGCTTCCTTTATTTCACTCTGAAAAACTTAAGACAAATTGAGTTTGATGATCGAGATCAGCGAATTCAATTGAATTCAAAACGTTGCTCTCGGAGTTCTACATTGTAGGGGTTGATATGAGATAAGCGTCCAACTGTCCTTCTCCATCGATAAAGAAATTCAATTCCGATTGCTTTTTGTGATATATAGCTGGTCCCCTTGCGTACCTACATATGAAAGAAAATAATGAATCACCCTTAAATGTTACGACCATTTTTATGTACCTATGTCCATGCCATTTTCTAGATATGTACCCATTACATTAAACTGTTTCCTACTCTCGCGAATAAAAACAGTGGTATGAAGTACATAAGAGTGTCTGTCATTGCCATATAAAATACCTAACTTGATTTGTTAATTAGCAGCATCGTTGCTCTCAACGAATGAAACTATTTTCTACTTGATTAGACATCGCGGTGAAGAGCAATTTCAGGCTGTCGAGATATTGGGTGTCGATTAACAAATATCCCAAAAATGCGACGTGGAACCAAGACTCGAAACGCAATAACTATAAGGGGAGGATAGTATAATGAAGATGTTTCTACTGGCGCCCGACGCCTTGCTGTCTTGTCTTGGCACACTAGTCATATTATATTAGAAAGTTATAGACTGCTGAAATTATTGCTTTTACACGACATAAAGTCGGTCGAATACTTCTCAAAGCGTCTTGGTGCTGCATCCTTCTCCCATGCATTACTTGCTTAAAGGTTGACAAAGTTGTGGGTACTTTATGGAAGTGAAATGGACAAAAAATTTGGTATACCCTTGAGAGGCTGAAGTCACGTAAATGTTACCTGTTAATTTTTGTTAGATATATCGTATCGTTACACAATTTCTAAGAGCAAAGGCTTATGGGTAGAATTCTTTGTCATGTGAATCCGAACGTTATGCTATTGACAATTAGTAATGCAGAAACATATGAATTGGCAGATATTGTGCATGCCCTCCAAGGGTTAAACTTGCAATACAAAATGCATCAACGTCAAGCAATGGCATTGGGAATCGTTGAGCACATCTCTATAATTAATCTAATGCTGCAATCAATCAGCAACAATGACATATTCTGTGAATGCGCGCATCGATTATTAGGCAGTTTGCAAAGGATATCGATGTAAAGCACACAATTGGGGAATTCGTTGGTTCATACAAATTAAATCTGATTTAGTTTTTAATTATCTTTGATTTGTTAGACATTTATTCCTATCCACGAAATATATAACTAGGTACAAAATTAATTAAAATGTAATCCAAATATCTGCCACAATGAGGTTGTGCATACAATGTCTAAAAATAAAATTGCAAACAATTATTACGGTGGGTGTTACATTTTATGTAATCATTGTTTGATTAAGCGTATCGACTGAACATGATAAAGAGGTATTACGCGTACCCTGACTGCAATAGTAATTTTTCGTGGATACATTGCACTACAGATTTTCCGAAGAGGAAATTTATAACGGTAGAAATTGATTGCAGATTACTCTCCCATATAATCACGTAGTCGCAATAAATTAAACGCACTCCAAGTTGCGATACAATTTTTCAAATAACGTCTACATGTGTACTAAACGATTATTGTTACACATTCCAATAAAATTACGGCATGTTGCCAAACTCGTGAGCATTTTACAATTGGTTCCAACTTAGTGCATATGGTTTATAGCAAAGGAAAAGTGATTGCTCAAATTAGCGGGTAGGTACACATTGCGAAATACTATAACAGATTTTTACTATACTACGCCGAGTACGAAATTGCATAAATAACAATTAGAAGACAGGTTCTTTTAAAATACCACGTAACAAAAAACGTAAGTATAACTCGCTTGCTCTTGGACAACTTATATTTAATAGTTAGTACCTGTAGATACATAATCCTAATATATTAAAATAATGTTATGGGAATTGGGAAGCATATAGGTACTATCGTAATTTAATTACCGGACTGTATGTATGGTCCACGTATTGACCAAAGAGATTACACGAGAATTCAAAAGATCCAGAATATGTATGTGGAATACGTAAGATGACAGTGATACATTTAAGCTAACGAACTTGAAATGGCTAAATATGTGTAATGGTAGATTGTTATGCATTCCGCTTGTTTGTTCCATAATTTGGCTGAACATGTTACTCTCTGGGCTTGTACCAATGAACGTATTACTATTATTATAATCCGCCGGTGCGATTTAGTTTCGCTCCAATAAAAATCACTAACATGAAGAGTATAGCATGTTACATAAAATAAGTACCTACTTTTCCAATACTTTTCAAATCTGCAATAAAAGATGAGGTGTTCCAGTTAAACAAACGTAAATTTAATTCGCCACGGGTGATCAGAACTATTTTAGAAACATAGCGATGATAATTGGACTAAAGAAGGAAAACACTTCAAACAACCCCCGCAATTTTTTTTATTAATAAGAGTTATAATTCATATATCGAATTTAAAACAATCATTCCGGGAGTTGTTTGAAGAGTTTTCCTTCCCTCTATGTTGTGTTTGTGTATATTCACATTGACCAGTCATTATGAATAATCCCCAATTAATTACTTTGACCGTAACATATACAGTACCAGGTCTTTACTAATTTTCCCAATTAATTGTTCTTGTCCATCTTGTTTATTGAAGGGTTGAGTGGTAGAGCAGACGGGACAATTTGATAGCTCTAGTCTCGGTTGTTCCTTTTTTAATACATGAGTTAAACTGTGACTTATATAACTCAATAAGTGTCATTATTATTATTAATATATAACACAAAAAATCCAGTAAAAATAGTGATTTGGACAAATGCGTATACAAGCTTCAAATGTAGCCCAGACAATAAATACGATTGGTCACATGTGTAAATAGTAGCACCTCATTTGATTTGCAAATATTGTATAATGTGTATTATATACACATTGAAATGGCAAGTAATGAGGATGAGGTCAGTGGTTCATTTTTGGATCGAAATGTCTTTACAACGTTACCAGTAAGGAAGCACCGATCTTTATCAACCCTTTATGAACAATTCCAAGAGATCTTGCAAACTGTTTGGTATAATAAAAATCCAAATAAATCAACGGAAATTTCGCATATTAATGTTTCATTAATGAATATGTAATGAGTACTGAATCATCTGCGTTTTGTGTGAAATGTTACAGCAAAGCATCCATGTGCCCATGAACAAGTAAAAGTCCGGATCGATTCTTATTTACCCACACTTCAACAGCGCGATATACGTTCTGAAATATTTACCAAAGTGTGAATTAATAAGCAAAACTATAGTGATGAAATAAAACCTACTGTGTGTTAAGGTGCAATAGTACGTAGACTTGATGCAATTAGCATGAAAAATTACTCAATTGCTTTTTTTATTTGTAACACAAATACTGCAAAACAAAAAACAATTGATTATACTGTATAGACTTGGCCAATGCGTTGGTGCTTTATATTAGATGGGTTACGGTTCTAACAAGAAGTAATTGAACATTGTTCAGAATACAGTGTGTAATGCGAAATACCCACCTCAATGGAAGTAATTAAAGTTGCAGTTTTCGTAAAAAGATATTCCCCATTGGAAGTTTGAGACAGGTATTGGAAGAACTACTGCAGGTGGAACAGCTCGCTGATTGTGCCATAGAAAGTGTAATATTATAAAAAGCTCATCGACTTACGTAATTCTACTGTGCTCTGTGCCTAAGGTGTATTTATATCCACATGTGCTTGAAATAGAATTAAATTTAGTGTATACGTTAGATTATGAACTATTGCATTTCATATGACAGGAGTAGCCTTAAAAATGTCGATTACTAAATAATCAAGACTATGTATACGTGTTCCATAACATTCAATTGAATGTGAATTAGTAGGGATGAGATTTAAAAACGTCATACGCAAAAACAACACAGTTTCCCGGTAATTAATTACGGAATTAGTAGCATAATCCATAAATGCTGATAAGTAAATTAGCATTGTACGTTGGGAATGATATGGGAGAGACATATATTAGCTAACCGGTTTGTAAGGTATTATCTTGTCGAACACGGTTTTCAGAGAAGCGAAATTTCTGTTTGGATTTAGAATAAGGCAATTTTGCTCAAATTTCAATAAGATTTGAATACGCAGATACATCAATTTTATGCTAATAAAAAATTTATAATTCCCAACTGAATATTGCAATCTGTATCAAGCTAGAACCATTTTATGGAAGCTTTTATAAAATATTCCTTTCTGTTTCTACTCAATGCTTTTCGCGAAACTATTTCTGAGATTAAAACAAAAGGAAAAAAGAATTTCCATAATTTACCAACTGCATTTGTAATATGTTTACAATCGTAATTAGCAATAAATTGCGAATCCCACTGCGCCGAGTTCTTACCACAAAAGTTTAGAATTGGATAGATAAAGAAATCCTTTGAGGTTTAAAAGAATACAGTAAATAAACACGTCTACAGTCTTAATTGTTTTGTTGCTAAGCGACTATATCTTCAGAATATTGTTCTATTCCACCCGTGCGAACAAGCAAATAAATAGACACAAAAAAACGCAGTTCAGCGATGAAATAATTGAATTCCTTTTTTCTTATTTTCCGATTTCTAGATACGAGAACACCTATAATTACTATTTAATAGCAGCAACACTCTATCATTGTTTTTAATTATTTTTTAGTTTCATTAACTTTATACCCGTTATTGACATTTTCGCAGTTACGAAAAAATAAAAAGCCTTTCCATTATTTCGTAGTAATTCATCCTTAGTTACCTAATCTGGTGTAATCGAGTACCTCCATCCTTGACTCTCGTCAATAAATTACCATATTTTGGATATGCATTATCACATTTTGCCCCCTAGTAATCTACTTTGGAGTAGGAATAGGTTTTTACAGTCGACCTAAACCTAGTGTGCTTATAGAAAGGTTGTTAACGAAGCACAAGTTTGTCCCAAATCTATCCAAAATACATAGCGCATGCTTTCAAAATATTGGTAAATCTCAGTCTTAAAACACCTTGAGAGAAATTGTTTTGTTGAAATACAGCAATTAAAGTCCTATTCTCATTTTATCTTAAAAGGATTGTCCCCATTCCTAACTTTGCATTATAATCCCTAATTCATCAATCAAAATAAGAAAATATTGCTGTGGATTGTAAAGACTACGAAGTTACCACTGGAGCATGAAATTGCATAGAGAATAGATTCTGTATACGACTAAAAGTTGACAACTTGCTAAATAACAAACTTGTGTTAATAATTAAACCTGTTAAACAATGAAAGTGTGCACTCATAGTTATTCAGAGTACTTACACCTCACTTCACACCTTCTGCTGCACATTAATATCAATTTTATAAAGACAAACGAGATGAATTTTTAAACTTTCTATACTCGGGAGGCAACTAAATTCACGTTAGATAAAAAGTTGAATCCCCGATTACAGCGTATATATTTTCACAAAAAACTTCCTCCCAGTTTTGTTTACATCGAAGAAAAAGCATACCCTGCAGTGTAGAAGCTAATTAGAATTAAATTTCAATTGAAGGTTAAATGAAATATCAGTTGCTTTTGACAACGTCTCTAATTTCTTTCATGTTCCATTTCAATATAATTATCCACATGACAAATCAAATTGTTTTCGACTGTAAAAAGGTACAGCATACCTACCAGGTTAGGCATCCAAATACGTACATAAAATTACAAACATGTCAGGCTCATAAAAAGTAATAAAGCATATTGTCAATTTTGATGTAGGTAACCTTGTTAGGGGGTCTCATAAAATTACGCTTGTCAAGCTTAGCCGCAATTGCAAAATCGGAAAGGTGTATTCGAGAGAAATCACATTCTGAAATTGTTAATATAATTTATTTTACTTTGCTTTATCTGATAGCGAACATTTTGAATACAAACAAAAATTGGAGATTGGTTTACCAGTGGGTCACCACAAAAAAATTGTTTAGAAGGCTAATATATAAGATTATCACACTTAAATAGTTTAGACTTCACCATTCGCGGTGTAAAAAGTATTGTAGCGAATATTCCACAAATCCCGATACACATAGAGGCGCCATGAAAGATTAGTCATCGGCGGTAAATAACCAAGGCAGATGTGACGCAGTCTTTCCCAGAAATATAACCTTCTAGAATATTCGGGAGCGTTCGAGAACTTTCTAGTAAGAAAGGCGTTTGCTATATACGAATTGCGTTTCAGTCAGTTCCAATTTCAACATCGATGTAATAAATAATTCGCGCTTTATAAATTGTGAGTGATGCATAATATTTTAACGATTATAAATTAATTCATTTCAAGACTGTTCAATTTTTATTGTTAATCAATTGTAAATAAAGGACATAATTAAATTTACGTTACACTAATGTGCGTGAAGAATAAATTAATAGAGCATGGATTCTTTTAAAGTTCATTTCACTAGTAAGATTGTTAAACCAAAGGAAGTCGCCATAGACCTCACTTCAAGTAAAAAAGTAAAAGTACCTCTATTTTCATACACTTTTTAAAGTAATTTTGACCACCAGGAAA